AAGTGAAGCTGAACTCTAACTAAGAAGCACTAACTAAAAACTAAGCAAGTTTAAAAAGTATTTGTTGTGTCCTGTTGATTTGTATTCAAGTCTTCTGCCTGCTACAATTATGACGTTAATTGAAACTCAGACTGACAGCTACACTTCTTTGCTTCCAGACTCAGAACCACCTTTCTTCTGACATTACTGTCTCATTACGTATCTTCCAACCATTTTCATACCTGTCTTTGTTCCATCTCAGTCTGGCATCCCTGTTTCCATTCCAGCAACATGCAGCCTGGTACAGTCTGTTCCAGAAGTCTTTATGATAGTTGCAGAAGTATTCATGGTAGCTACTAGACTAGGTGGGAAGGGAGGAGGATTTGGGAGTAGAACTAGGACAGACCTTAAGGGTAGGGTGTGAGGGGCAGGAATTTGTTGTACTGAAATAGAAAGTGCAAGACAACCAATATCCTTGTTTAATAATCCCTTTTTTTAAGCATCAGCACTTTGCTACAATCTACAAATGAATGAAAATCTATAGGTACTTGAGTTTCACTGTCTACCTACATTTTATCCCAGCTGTCCTAATGAATCAGTCTCTCAACCTCAAAACTAATGTGCAAATTGTTGATTTTGGAGGGCACTGAGGTAGAATTCAAAAACTGTTTTGTTTTTTCGACAAACAAAAGATGCAAGACCATCCAATTAGAAGTCACTATGTAACTACATAATATGCACTGGATGAACATTTAATAGTTCATAATCCTATTCAAAAAAAGAGAGGCCAAGAGCTGTAATTTCAATTGCAATGATGATGTTTGAGGTACAATTAAGGTATCATCAATGCAATAGTGGTATTTGTGACTTCTGCTCAAGTTTTAAAATTGTCTTTTCAATGAATGCTTAGCAATATAAGACAACTCTAATTCATTTTCTATTCCTACATTAACTTGTACTTATTTTCTGGAATTGTTTAAAAAAAGGAAATGCAAGACTATTGCAATGGCCAATTCTTTCATGCTAGGTCAACTCACTGAAGTATACATGTAAGCTTAAGATTTGAAATCCTGACCCTAAGGAAACTAACAGTACATTTGTTGTTGCTTTCCATGAGCTGAATATGCAGGTAGGAGTTTTCGTAAAAGGAAACTGAAAAGAAATGACTAAAACAGAAATTTTCCTTGGAGCCTAGAAAAATGTTTGATAAATAAAATGATCTGGTAACCAATGTGAACAGCATAGCTAGCTACACTGGCATAACTACACAAAGAAAATGAGCACTCTTATCTTGAAGTTACTTTTTGATTAATTTTATTACCTAAGAACTGATTTACCAGTTAAAACTTTCATGTTAGCTTCTATGAATGTTAATGTCCTATGTAAGCGGTTTATTTTGATGGCTACTGTCACTCCAAAGGTATGAAAAAGGGGCATGTTAGCCTGCAGGTTTCACTGGCCAAGTGGTGAATAGTTACTAGTCCTTACAGCAGACTTGAAAGAAGAAGGAAAGCTTTGTTGTTTGAGATCTTGCTATTTAGCTGTAGCTTGGTGTACCTCTTCAAGCTTTGGGTATCTCGTGTCCAAACTGTGCAGGGGTACTGACCTTACACCAGTAACTCAGTTCTTTTATTTGTTCTTGTTGTTCCCTATAAATCCTTTATACTTCTTTATTTGGGAGGTCTGATGAGTATCTGGTATGTGAGTAACAATGGATTTTACCTGTAGTATTTCTCTCACACCCTCTTCCAGTGCTGTTAAGGTGGGTATAAGTATCCTGTATATCTGACTTTAAATCATCCTGTTGAGTATTTTAAGAGTCCAGGAAACCATCCCTAAACCTACAGCACGTTAAGTGTGGGGTGATGCTGAAACTATGTTGCTCTACTCCAGAAAATATTCACTAAACCACGCCAGACTATTGGCGGTGAAACCAGATCTCGTGTACAGGGCATCTCCACTTTCCACCAGCGTTGCCCGGGCTTGGTGGAGGGCGATGGGGCTCCCCTCCAAGCCGTGGCTGCTATCTCCGCCATCCCGCCCCTACGCAATTTTTGGGACAGCGGCGCCTTCCCCTCACCGCCCATAACCGCCCCAACGGCCGCCAGGCGCCGCTTGGCGCCGCCATCTTGGTTGCTGGCAAGCGCTCCCCGCCCGCCCCGGTAGCCGCCGCCGCCATGTTTGTTGCGGGCGGGCCGCTTACCTGCGCGCTCGCCCGGGAGCGGCGGGGCGGCGCCGCGGCTGTCGGTGAAGACGGTGCGGCTGAAGGAGCCCAGCTGCCGCCTCAGCGGCTCGGGCAGCGACATGTTGCGAGGCAGCGGCTTGTCGCGACTCCGCCGTCGCCCTGGCGACGGGGCGGGGGTGCGCAGGCGCGGTGGCGGCCGCCGCGCTCCCGCTGAGGGCGTGTGGTGCGGTTTTGGAGCTGTTCGTGCTCAAAGTGAATGTCCGCGAGGCTCGTTTTGTGACACAATCGTCAGGGTTGGAGAAGACCTCCCAGATCATCTGGCCCAACCATCCCCTTCCCACCAATGTCACCACTAAACCATGTCCCCAAGCACCACATCCAACCTTCCCTTGAATGCCCTCAGGGATGGTGACTCCACCACCTCGCTGGGCAACCCGTCCCAGTGCCTGGCTGCTCCTTCTGAGGAGAAATGTCTCCTAATTTACAACCTGAACCTCCCCTGGTGCAAATTGAGGCAATTCCCTCTAGTTTTATCACTAGGTACCTGCAAGAAGAGGCTGACCCTCAGCTCTCCACAAAATGCCCTCTCCTCGAGGCTGCCTCTCTCTGTCACTGCAAAAGCAGCAGTGCAGACTTTTTATTCCAGTTAGATCTTGTCCCTTATGGGATGCCCTCCCAGCACTAAGAAAAGCTGTTAGCATGAAAACAATTTCTGCTTGTTCCTGCTATAGAAAACAGTCACTTTGTGTCCGAAACCTCAAGATGAGGTGGTCTGTTCACCGGGTTTTTCAGCTTCCCGTAGGGCCTGATTCCTTCTGAGGAGAAAGGATGTGTGCAGAAAGTTATTTTCCTCATGACCTGAAGGAAAGAACAGCTTGTGCCCTTTACTATGAGGGCTGGTAACAATTGTGGTTTTACTGAACATAATATGTCATGTCAACTCCCGTTCCATCTCCTAAATCCTTTCCCCGTCTCCTCCCTCCTTTCCCCAAATTGTATTTAGCTACTTCCCTGGGTGATCGTTCTCTAGTATGACTTTCCAAACTCAATTATCTCTGACTAAATAATTTAAAGCCTAGTTTAAATTTAATTTCTTTCTATCCCACTGGGAGAACTACAGAGAAAGATGGCTAAACAAGCATGAGTTCTGAGAAATCCATTTGGCTATCGAGCTGAGGAACAATGTGATATTGACAACAGATACTGTTCAAAGGGTTCTCCAAACACGTGTATGGCAGCAGGGATCTGCACAAAAATAAGTAAGTAAATAAACTGCCTGTGACAGCCTGCAGAAGAGATGAGGAGGAAGTGATTTTCAAATAATGGCAGCAGATTTGGAGAAGGAATTATAGATATCCCAGAATTTGAAGGGCTGCTGAAGGCAGCAGGCTCTGCTGTGTAAGTGATCTTATAAAATAAACCTTGAAGTGCAGGCGAGGCTTATCCCTATTTCACAGAAAAGATGAAGCAGCTCAGTAGCACTATCAGGTCTGCCTGGTACCAGGGCTACCTAGGTGGCTCAGGCAGGACAGCTCTACAAGCAAATAATTTAGTAAAAGCATCAAGTCTGAATGTTTGTCCAGCTTTTTTTGAGCTGACTTTGTAACTTTGAAGCCTGTCCTGTTACAGGTGTAGTGACGGTGATGCCTGTGCTAGTTAACATGCTTTGGGGGCTGTAAAGCAACACAAGCTGCAGTCGCAGATGTGCGCACAGTTGTGTCCTAGCTCCATGTGGATGCCAAAGCTCTGAGGGCAGTAGAGTTAGACCACAGTTACGGTGATAAAAATCTGGGAGCGGATGCTTGCTAATTAGCGAACTACCTGGTAAATAATTGAAGGGCTCAAAGATGACTTTTACGTTTCAGGAAGCATTAAAGTTAATGCTAGTTTCCATAGGTAGGTTTCTGACCATTAAAAAATGCAATCTGTATTTGTTATCTTGCCAGTAGGTGCTGTCAGACTCGACAGCTACAGTGGTGACTTCTGCACAAATCTCACCATTAAGTTCTTTGCTATAGACAGTGGTGCGATGATTAACCTGTGCAATATTACCAATGAGATAGTAAAGCAAAGCTTCAGGCACTTGTGTTTGTCCTGATCTCATTAACACCCTTTAAATTAGGGGAACACTGTTCCCACACTCTCAGTTAATTAGACAAAAGGAACACGTTTATACGAATTAAAATTACAGTTGTATAAACTGCTGGCCTGTTAAAGTTCAACCTTTAAGGATTTTCCTTTTGATTACTTTCTCAGAATTGAGGGAAGAATTTTCCCTGAACTGCACAATGCAGTTTCCTGTTGCCAGTGGCTTTGAGCAGAGGCCCCGATCTCTCAGATGCCCTGATTTTCTTATGTTCCCCAATTCTGAAAACCTATCAAGCATACAGTCAGGTGTCCAGCCAGCAGTTCTATGGCAGTCAGTGGGACTCTGCAAAACTGGGCTCTGCTCTTTCAAGAACTGTGAAGCAATCCAGTTTAGCAGTCAGTGAAGTGTAAAACTAAGCAGCAGGTAAAGGAAAGGCTGGTGGAATGCAGACACCACGAGAAATGCATGGATTTGCCATGTGAACTCTATTTCCAGACTCAAGGTGTGAATCTGTGATATTTGGCAGTCTTACATTTTCAGCAGATGGCCAAGCATCCTACATGTCCCTGAGAAATGAAATTGTGCACTTCTTTGTTTAATATTTTTGTCTATGCAAATACTTAAAATATTCCCCGAAGATGGAATAGAATCTTTTTTTTTTACTAATTCTGTTTAATTTTCTTTAGACCAAGACACACATTTTTGGGGGGTCAATTTAATAAACAAAATTCTTCTGATTTTCTGTAGGGGCGTTTGGAGAGCATCTACTCCATTTTCAAGCAGAAGAGCACTCTCTGAACTTGAAGGATTGGAACACCAGGACATCTGCATTGACAGGTCAGAGCTTCCTGTAACATTAGGGTATTAATAGGGTCCATAAGGAGTGGAAGAAGGAAAAACATTTAACAGTTATGTGATGGAAACTGTTATGACGACCATCTGTATAAATACGGTAAGTGTCCAGCTTTTGTGATTAAAACCCATTTTGGCATTTTCCTCTTGTAATGTAATGACATTCTGCCACTTGGTTTCTTTGTGTCTATCCATGTATGAAAGGTTAAGGTAGAAACAACCAAATTTCCATCTCTCTGTGCGTTGAAATAAGCTACTGAAATGTGAAACTGGAAGAAATAAGCTCATAATTGCGCAGCATATTAAATGACCGTTTTATTTCTCTCCACACATGCTAGCTATAAATAAAACAAAAGTCTCTGAAAATCTGCCTGAAAGCTTTAAATCAGAGGAATATTGGATCTTTGTGTATCCACAGTAGTCCAACTAAGTTGGTAGACACTGGCTTGGCTCCCAGACCGAAGCTCCTGGGGCCCTCTGGCAACAGCACTAAGCCATAAACACCAGATGCAGTATATCTAACAAAATTAAATATCAGCAGTTTTTTACAGTTGGCATTTCAGAAACACAGAGTTCATTTAAATGGTGCCAGTGGTTTATCTTTGCACCTGAATTGCAATTGCTGTATTTCTGAATTTGCTGGGGTGGAATCCCACAAATGCTATTTCCCCTGGCACGCCTGTGCTGCTGCCCCTTATGTAGCCTTAAGTGTGCAAGCAATGCAAGTCACACTCCTCTTTGCTTGACCCTTATTGATACCTGTCCAGTGTTTTGTTAGAAACGTTGTAAAATATATATAAAAAAAAAGTGCTGGTGAGTTGAGGTATATGCAGGCAAATGGAGTACAGGCTTGCATTCTCCTCCTGTTCTCAGAATGAAGTGACAGATTGGGAGTTTTAACAAATTACAAGTGCCACGAAGGCTCTAATGTGTGTGTGTTTGAAAGGCTCGTGTTATTAGCTGTGACAGTGTCTGCCAGAGCAATTTCACAGCTGTGTTCCTGGCGCGCAGTACCCCAGGACAATCTTTTCTCTGTGTCGCTTGTACACTAGTCCCTGGTGTTCGTTTAATACCTACAGGATATTTGTGTCTGGTAAACAATTATTGTTGCTGATGAGACCTCTCCGAGGCTCCTGTTTCAACCATTATGGATTGCTGCAACCACTCCGTTCAATAACCGTATCGTAGCTGTTTTCTTTTCTTAAGCATAAAGACAGCAACAACAACGATAAGAGGGACTATTACTTGCTCCCACAGATTGATTTTCTTCTTGTTGTACTTGGCGGTTAGTTAGAACAGCTCCTTGGCTTTTTTTTGCCTTTTTTTTTTTTTTTTTTTTTTTTGGAGTTGGTTTGTTTTGTCAAGCACACTAGGAAATTCTCAAGGCTGCTGCTACTATTAAACAAGTTTCACCATTTGTGTTTCAGAAGTGCTTTAGCTTTGTGGGATATGCTGGGAGGCTACAGTACAGGTGTGGACTTTGAGCTGGATTCTCACTTCTACTGAGGCCCCTGAAGTACCCGTAAAGGACTCTTTGAGTGTCCTGACCAGTGCAGAGGGGTCCCTTACCTCCAGCTGTGGAATAACTGGTGAACGCCATGCTGTAACACTGCAAACAGGCTGGGTGCCTTCAAATTTTGTGCCGCTGACAAAGCTTGTGATCAACGTGATGTCCTTCCTTTGCTTCCAGATCTTTTTGGGGATTAATTCTGCCTCAGTTACACCTTCACCTCTTTTGTAGGTTCTCCCAGAAGGCTGTTCTTGGGAAGGAGGGATGTGTTTGCTGCATGTGTTTGCCCTCTCAGCAAATGGTGGCTAGTGTTTTGCTAAACCAAGGTGCCCAGCTAGTAGAAAACTGAGCTCTGTGTAGAGATCTAAGCTTCCCCAAAGCCCGTTCCGTGGACGTGAGCTCCCCCAGATGGAAGGCCTGTTTGTGTTCTCTGGGCATCACAGCAGGTGCTTTACCTGTTACTCTTCATAACTCCTGCAGAATGCTTCCTGGGATGTGGGTCCTTGCAGGGCCAGAAACAGTTTGCTCTTTTCATTGCAGAATCCAAATATGGCACAGTATTTAAAAAATTACTTTTGAGGTGGCATGAATCAGTGTGATGATACACCCATGTGAAGGAAGGCCTTAGTGGTGACTGCTGCTGGTGGTGGTAGTTCCCTGCAAGAAGTTTTGCCCTTCCTTTGCAATTGTGCAAGCCTAAGCCCTGTGTGTGTGATGCACACACGTTAGTAGCTTGATCATTTAGGGGAAAAAAAAACAAACAGCCACAAGACAGAGAGGGCTATTGTTTAGTTAAGAAACCATCACAGGGTTGGGTTTTGTATTTTTAATTTCTAAATTTGTATTTGGACTGTTACCTAGGTGCCTGAGTTTGTTAGAACTCCAGTTCAACTTAAGTTGGAGCTGCGGCAGCACCCTGGAAGTGAGGCTGGTTGTTTGGATTCCCTGATGCGTTCCGCTGCCTAAATTCTTGTTTCCAAACAAGAACAAACTCTCCCCCTGCTTTGAAGCTGTGCCAAGCTAAAGGTATGTGTTGTCAGGTCTGTGTCAGAGGGTTTCCATTGTCCATTCGTGTCCAGGCTGATGCCTGTGAGAGTCCAGGACAGTGAGAATGACTGCAAATTCCGTAGAAGTCGAGTTCTGGTTCGGGACCTCTAGTTCAAACATTGTGGGTTATGCTGCTGGGGATGCTGGTGCAACACCGCAGCAATCTACGGTGTCTCTCTGTTGGGATGGGGATTTGGCTGCGTGTTTATTTTTGTTCTGTAATCTGTTAGCTTTAGGCTTTTTGCTGTGTTTCCAAACAAAACGAAACTTGGCTCAGCTTCTCCTCAGGCAGCACCAAAGAAAGAGTGTAGTGACTTGCTGAAGTTCCAGAGCGCACTTAGTTCTGTCTTTGTTACTTTTTCAATTATTTAAGATGGGGGCTTCTTATGTGTGGGTATGCACCACTGTACCTCAGTCTCAGTTGTGGTTCCAGTTGCTGGGTACTCTGAAGGATCATTTTGAACTCCCCAATCTGCTGGCTTTGAAATGGAAAACTTCTGTGTGTCATGTGAAGGTGGGCTTCCTCACGTAACCAGAATCTGTGAAGTGGTGCTTAAGACTGGAGGAAGCCTCATGGTATTTTATTTTATTTTATTTTATTTTTACTGTAAAGATGTTTAAAAACAAGGAATTCCCCTTCTGCATGCTGCGTTGTCACTGTTCATGGTGGAGGAGGCAGACTGAAGGATCTAATCTAGCTTGCTTGCTTGACCTCTCTCTCTCTCTGGAATGCTTTATTACAGGGCTCAATTGAAAGCTTTTTTTCCCCCCCTCAGATTCTGTCTACAAGATCTTGCCTGCCTTTATGAAATACCAAATTTATAGCTGCAGGATTTACTGCAGCAGTATTTTAAAACACCAGATGCTGATACAGCAGCTCTAATTAGAAATATATCGAGTGCTGGACCGTGTGAGTGAAGTGCTGTTTTAAACTGCAGCGTCCACAACAAGAGGCAAATACAGGCTGTGTTTGTACATGTTTGAACGACAAGAGGTCTCAGTGAGAAAAGCTGTGGTCTGCTATGGAGTGACACTGCTGCGATTGATTTCTCCTGAGAATTTCTGCTTTATTTCACTGAGGTGCGGGAGTTTAGTTGGGAAAAGACCTGTGCTGAGGTGCTGTAGGCTTTGGGTTATGGTGTGACAGGTTATGCACTTTGCTGCTGTGGTCAGTCAGAAGTAATTAAACAGAAGCTGGAAGACAACAAAGTCAGTTTCTACAAGGAGGCACTTAGCTAGTCTCTTCTGTGTTTAAAAAGCTACAAATATCCACCAGGTCTTGTCTGTTGTAGCCTGGCGTATCTGTGACTTCCCCCAAAATCCTCTGTGCAAGGCCCCAGAGTGGCAACTTCATCCTCCTGTCCCAAAGCCAGGCCATCCATGTCCAAACCAAACCTCTCCAGTGACAGACTATGTAGTCTGCCTGGACAAATCTATCCTGGTGTCCGTATCGTTAGAAAATTAAGTCCTAGTATCTAGCCTAAGCCATGCTTTCCTCAATTTGTACTTCACATCTTACCAAGCATGGATGTGGAGTTAATAAACTGCTTCTTTTCTGCAGCTACTTCTTGATTTCCTTATCATGTGCTGCCTCATCTGCTGTTCTGTAAACAAAACAACTCTAGCTGAAAGGATCCGTGTCCATCTATGCTAGATGTTTATCGCAGTAGGTCTCCCCTGATTTCCGTGAGAGGAAATCTAATGGGCAGAGAGGGGAAAAGATTTAGGTGATGAATAAAGTGGAAGTGTTTCAGTGTACATTGCAAATTGCTCGCTGCAGTACCAGACAGCCTGTATTGATCATGCCTAAAGCACATGGTTTTCCCTTGAACATTAAATGTGGCAAACCACTGTACTAGGACTCAGGATTGATATTTCTGTCCTGCAAGGATAATTAGGAATTTACCAGCCCGGGTTAACAGATGCCTTGAGAGACTTGAGTATGATTAACTTCATAAATACATATTATGAAATCCCGGGCAGTGTTCTAACTGTAATGTATTTTCCCTGAAGGAAAATATGTCTGGGTACAGAAATCAGAAAGAGCTTGGTGCCAAATGCAGAATGGAAGGAAATTCCTTTAAGGCTGGAGTCTATCAGCAGTTTGTCTGAATGGTCTTTTTCTTTGAAGAATTAGTTGAGGGGTTATTTCTCTAAATGCTATCATCCTCTAACTTGTGAGCTCTATCTCTTTCCTAAAACACACCAGTGTGTAACGTGAATATGTAACGTAACATTCCCTCTGAGACTTGTTACTGCTTTATAGCAGCTGCAGGTGAATTTGTTTATAAAAAGGCAAGCAGCTACTTGAGGCAGAGGGGAGTGCAAGTCAGTGGTTGCTCCTGCGCTGAAAGTGGATTTCTGAGAGCGTAATAGCATAAAGGAGATGATTTTTCTGCAAAGCTGTGAGATTGGAGAACCCTGGAGGTGAATTTAAGCAGTCCTCATGAAGATTGTTTATTGTAAAGGTCTCAGTTATCAGATGTGGAGGGCTTTTAACATCAGATCTGGGTTAGCTGCTCGAGTTTACAGAGCTGTTGCCACCTCCACCTTGCCGTTCAGCTTTGCCTCAAGGAGCCCTAGGTTAAGAGCGACTGAAAAATAATTGCTAGGCAGTCCCTCCGTGGCAGCCAGTCCTGGCAGAAGGCGACGCGTTGAGATTATTCCTGAATCCTGCTGCCCCTCGCTTGCAGGGATGTCTGGCAGCAGGCAGGGCTGCCCTAGCTCGCATGGGTGACTGGGCCTGGGGTCTGGCAGCTGCAGATTAGGACACAAAGCTGCCTCATGCCAAGGGTGTGTGCTGCGCTGCCAGGAGGGAGAATTTCAGCCTTAGAGCCTGGACTGACAGTGCTTTATTGCAGCCGTTATGTCCAAAAGTCTCGTCCTTGGGAGGGGTGGAGTTAATCAGCTGGATAAGTTACCCCTCTGCTATTTCCATTTTGCTCTCGATATTTCTTTATTCTGCAGGAGTGAACTGCTGGACAAATACATTAGAACAGCTTTTTGCTCTATACATTTTAAAGAAGAGAGAAAGAAAAGCGCCAAGTTAAACTGAATTTCAGAATGTCATATTATTTGGGGAAGAAAGCTTGTCAGCTACAGTTTCCAGTGCAATGGGTTAAAAATCCCCAATTCCTTGGGACTAGGTTATTTTTGCTAGGAGTAAACAAGTAAAATAGACATATTTTCAGTCCTGAGCTTGATCAAAGTCCTGACAGTACGAAGCACTTTGCTGAAGTGGATTAAGGATGTGGTTTATTTTTTTTTCCAGGTAGGAACTTTCACATGGAGCAGGCCGTACAGCTTCATTATGTGCTTCTGCAGTGAGTTTTGTAACAGCTGATGCAACGACAGCTCGTTTCTTGTCCAGTCTTGATTTGACTGCGTTCAGCATGTGCTTAAGTGCTTTGCTGAATCTAGGCTAAGAAATGCTTTTCATACAGGAATGTTTCAGACAGGATAATGACCACGAGTGCCTGGGTAGCAGCAAAGGCTTCGTCCTGCTCCTCTGAGCCCCAACTTGTCTCCCTGTGCCTTTAGCAGATTCAGAAACTGGGGCGATGTCAAGCATAGTCTAGCAGCGATGAAAAGAGGCAGCACTGAGGGTTGTCAATATGCAGCTTTTAGCTAAAGAAGAATTTTTCATCAAACACATTCACGTTTGGTTTTGCCTCACGTTTCTTTTTGCCTATGCGTTAGCACTTTTCTAGTCCAGGACACTTGAGAGAAACTGCCATTCAAAAGACCTTTGCTGACAATACCTGAATTTTCACTCAGAGCTTTCATCAAGCTTCAGTACTAAGTGGTTTGGGGCTGATGAAGTGTTTTGGCTTTGGGGCTGATTAATTTCACATACTGCTATCTGGAAATCGTAATACTCCATTGTACATGCAAATATTGGCCCAGCATTTGGAAAATGGCTGGTGAGCCAGCTGCTTTGGGGCTCTCAGCTGGGGATGCTTTAAAGAGGTCTGTTTTTCAGAGTGCCTTCACTTTCTGAAATTTGAGTTACTCTTGGGTTTTACCAACGTATAGAGTCCCTTAAAATCACTGCTGGCTTCAGAAAACACCTTGATCACAAACAATTCTCTGTTGTTCTTCCACTATTACTCATCTTGGTTACAGCAATGGGTTGGAATCTAGTAGGGGAATACAGGGACAAACATGCCATTCGAGTGCAGCTCGATGTTTGCTTGCAGAGATACCAGAGACAGCACAAAGATGTGGTGCTCAGCATGGTGCTGTGCGTGGTATGCCCCTGCATTAGTGATGTAGTGCCTGTGGGGCACTGGCATCACCTGGCATCAGTCCTTGTGCTTTCACAGTAACCCCATAGGTACTGCACCAGCGTGCTCAGAGTGGTTTCCTTCTGATGGAGCGAGGCTGAAGTCATGCAGGGTTGCTCTGTTATTACCAGCTCGTGTTGCTGGCTGAGCAGCAGTTAGTGCACTTCTTAGGCATGGCTGTGACCTGCCATGGGTACAAGGCACATCACTGGTAAACGTAGGTAGATGATAAAAAGCCCTACAACTGCAGCTGATTGTGTCAAACCAAACCCCAAGCTTCCCCTCTCCTTTCTAAAATGTTGATGTACAAAACCAGCACAGTCCTGCTCCAGCTGTACTAATGGATGCTGACAGCAGAGAGCACACTGAGATATGCACGCAGAAATAATTTGGACCGGTTGCTAGCAAGAAGTCCGTAGGTAACTCAGGTAATCCTGCTGGCTTTGATCTGTCTGGGTGTGAAGCTGCAGAAAACACTCAGTAGCAGTGCGTCCATACCAGCGTTGCCAAGCTACTTTCCAATGATAATTCCTCTGTGCTTTGCAGGGCTTCCTAAACCTGATGGAGAGAAGTCAAGAATCAAAATCGGTGCCTGCTTTTTTGCAAGGGTTTTGTTCTTGCTGGATAATCCCTTTGTAGCCCCAGGGAAAATTTCTGGTAAATTTTGTGTCAGTGGCCTGAAGCAGAAAGTCTGAGCAATGTGGGGTTTAAAACACGAAACAAAGCAGTTGCTTAAAATTTTGCTCTGTGAGAAAGCTGGTGGATTTCTATGCCTGATCTTACAACTTGTGAGAAGAAAGGGGGAAATAAAAATGTGCTGTTGAACAGTTTAATGCATAAATTACTCAACACCTTTTTTTGTTTATTTATTTGAAACCGTAACAACAGTGTTCTGTGCAGTGTTTCCACCCTATAGACAGGGTGAAAAGCCTGCAGTCTTGAGAGAAAACTAGTAAATTCGGCAGGTTAACAACTACTGCTAAGGTGCATGAGGAAACTAGTACTCTTGTCCCGTTTAATCTTACAGATTGATCTCAACAAGCTCTCCAGAGGGAAGCACAAGTGGCAGTGTTTTGCAGGTAATCAGCTGATGAGTATTGGCACAGCTTCCAGCATGGAGCTGGTTATAACTTTAAGTTGTAGTTCTGATACACTTCATTGTCCTTGCCGTGGATTGTAGTGAGGAACCTGTAAGACTGATTCAATCTTTGATTTGTGTGATAGGACCAGACCTTAAAACTGAATTATGAAGAGTTCTCTTCTCTGAAGCTGATTCATTAAATAGATCACAAAACAGTTTCTCAAATAGCACAGAGAACTGACAGTCTGACATATCAGGATGTCTGTAAAACTCAAAACTGGTGTATATGAACATCTGTAAGACATCTGCATCTTGCTTTCCAGGTATCTTTCAGGAGGTGCCTTGGAATATAGCTGTCATGAACCAAGCCAAAGTAGGAGCAAACCGTTCATCCTACGGAAAAATCCTGATCCTGCTGTGCCTGCCAGAGAAGTTTGGTTGGTGGGAGCTGCGTTTTTGGCTGCTTTCTTATAGCTGTTTCCTACAACACACTGTGCTGTTTGTTTCTTTGTGAGGTGTGAGCTCCCTCAGTAAGAGGTCTAAATCTATGCAGCTGGACTCTGGATGTAACTTCGGTCACCAGCTATGATTGCTGTTTCTGTCTGTTCTGTGTGAATTCAGATGTTAGTGGTCAGTGCTAGCAATGGACCCAAAGGCTAGCCATCCTCGTTAGAGCAGTGCAGTCTCGTGGTTAGCATGCGGGACCAGAAGCGTGATGCCTTCTGCACACACAGGATGAAATTTGGGTTGTTTTGTGATTAGCATTTTGCAGGGCAGAGAGGGAAGGTCACTGCATTGAAGTGAATGCAACGGAAATGTGAATTGAAGACTTCCCCCTGAAATGTGAGCGTGTGGATGGTCTAGATGGCTTTCCAACTGAGGCCAAAAAAACCCTGAGTTTATCTCCTGCCTGAAATTTTAAAGATAAATTGTTTGAAAATGTTGTTTGTTATAGACAACTGTGTGACTCTTCGTTGGAGCTGGGTATGGATATAGGCTTGTTGATTTGTGCAGCTGAATATTTCATTGCCACAGTTCAAAGGCTCATACAGAATGCTCTGGGCAGAATCAAAGCTGGATTCCTCTACTAGAAATTCAGAATAATTTCACTTACTTCAAAAATCTGCTGCTGCAGTTGGCCTGAGGGGGTTTCATACCAAGCTGCATGATTTTTTCTTGGTTGTTTTTCTCAATTTGGGAACACGGCAATTGTTGGGCTCATCCCAGAATGATCTCGGTCCTTTTCTAAAAGGCGTGTATCACTTGGGTCCCTCTGCAGTGACAGCAGCATAAAGATGAATTCCATGTTCTTGTTGTGAGCTTGGTTACTTTGTTGGCTGGTGCCTTTAGCAAGCTGCTGTCAGCCTGGCTGATTCAGTTCACTGCAGTATCTTGAGTTTTTTCCAGTGCTCCTCATATTATTTACTTTATTCTTGTGTGTCAGGTAGTGTCTCAGCATAAGCAGTTACTCCCAGAATAACATTTCTGCAACCTTTTCCTAACCCCAGTCATACTCCGGTGTGCGTACTGATTACAAAGACTCTGTTTGGCTTGGTTGCAATCTCCTTATTTGATTGCTCCCCCTGCTTGCTGGGGCTCTGAGACCTGCTCTTTCTCGAGGCATTTTCCTCCTCATATACTTCAGGCATTTTTATATTATTTCTCCTGGCAACGTGTTCTCTTGGATATTTTTTTTCTTTAATCTCTCTTTCATTTTTCCTGTCAAAGTCTGTTCCACTGCATTAAAGACACATGGGCTGGATTTATGATGCCTGAAATGGATACCTTTTTGGCCCTAAAGCTCATCCCCTGCCATACTGCTGGAAATGATTGCGACTTTTCTGCATCTTGAAAGTAAATATCTCATTGAACTCAGGCAGGCGTGTGTGGTGCTTTTGGAGCCAGGGAATATTTATTTAATCTCCACGTAGGGAAGCAGAGAGTGAAACCCTAGATCCGTTCAAATCACCGGGGCTTTCCCTGGGCTTCAGCTGAGCTGTGCCTCTGTGTTCGGGTTTGGGATCTGTAGGTGGCCCTCCAGCCAGGGGAGGTTGAAAGCACGAGGCAGGCTTCTCAGCCCTCTGCTCGGGGATGAGAGGCTGAGCTGAGGGTCAGCTGGCTGCAGAAAGAGATGGAGGATTTGGAGACGAAGGACCAGGTTTTCTTTCCTGGTTCTTTCACCGGCCTCTTGAAAGATATTTATGTTTCAGTGTTTGCTTGGAAAGGTGCCTCAGCAGCACGGTACTGTTTGGGTGAGTAATTTTGCTGGTGTACTGCAGTTGTGTGAGAGGTTCTGGAGACACGTGTCCACCTGGGACATGCTAAGCCCATGAAGCAAGAGATAAGCTTAAGCCACAGGTTTGTGCAGGTGCTGAAGGGTGTTGCCTGGATGAAGCCTTCATCTGTTCCCCGTGAATCGTGGTGCTGCGTCCCAGTGGAAGTTGTCTGGTTTGGTGACAAGCCCAGCTTACAGCCCCAGCAGAGAAGTTTGATGAAATAAAAGGTAGATGAAGCGGTGTCTCCATATTCCCATCCCCAGCTGAAGAGCAGTCTAAACAGTGAAAACTGTCGGGAGTGCTTATGGAGAGAAGCAACGTCGGGAGCTGAAGATAAGAGCATTTATCTTCACGTCAAAACTACTCAGTGTCTGATGGGCTCCCAACGCACTTCAACAAGGAGCTTAGGCTGGAGACACTGGGATGTGAGGAATGTGGGGGGGAGCGTTTATCCCACCGAAACGTGGCGTGCATCAAATCAATTACACGGTGCAAGCATATTTCCCCCCTCGTCACCAGACAGTGTCGCGAGCTCGAAGAAAATCGGTTCTCTCGGGCACTAGAGGAGCCTCCCTTTGGATGCTGATTTAATGTGAAACGTATATTAAAGGAGAGAGGGAGAAGGGGGATCTCATATGTTCTGCTGCAGATTGCCACATCGATCTTGTCGTTCAGGCGAGCACAGCTGGACCTGAGGCTGTGGGGCTGTGGGATGTGCTGCCTTGCTGTCGGGAGCTGTCAGCATCAGAGGAGCACAGGAGAAGGAGGCACTGTGGCGGTAGAAAGTGCAGTGATAAAGGGATCAACGAGCCGTTTAAGGGGAAATCAAAGCAGGTGCCACTTTGCGCCCACTGTTTTGGCTTGTGCTCATTTTCAGCAGCTAGAAACGTGCTCTGCCCTCACCTCGTCCCCCAGTGCAGTGGTGAAGGGAGGAGGCCCGCTGAACCCTCCCTGCTGCCGTCTCTGAGCCAGCTCCTCCCTGAGAATTGCTCCTTTGAGCTCACACCCCAGCTCACAGCCCACATTGCACAATGCTGATGGCCAGTCTGGGAGTCTTCGCTCCAACAGATACACTGGCAAACTTCTTAATTTATAGCAGGCCTCGGGCATCCCTCTGCCCGGTGTTTATGCACTGTGTGGAATGGTGTCGGTGCTTTGGGATACTTGTGCTTCTCCCAGGCAGAGCAGAGACACTAGAGAGCGCCCTGCATTTGCAGATTTTGACTTGGGAAGCAGAGTGTGAGGATGTGAGCGCTCCCTGAGGAGAGGACGTGGGAGACAACTGATCTCAGGACTCAACCTGGTCTTGCTCCTTGAGACAGCCAGGAAGATGTGTGTTTGGAGAGGATTTTTCACGTAGACAGGTGTAGCTGCAGTTGCAATAAAGCTTTGTGTTTCCTCCAGTGATCTCCTTGTCTTTGGACATGACAGAACAGGAGGTGCGTTTGGACCAGCAGACCTCCACTTTTCATGCACAGCCTCTGTCTCATCTCAAACACAGCCACCAAGACAGCACCAGCAGGGGCCTGGCCAGTTATCTCCTCTCCTAAGGAAGCTTTCAGAGCACTGTAAGTCGAAATGTCTCCAGGGATGTCCTTAATATCTGAAGGTTGGTGGGAGGATTGCCATCGCTCTTGAGCTTGCAGTCTCCAGTCCTGGAGAAGAATACGTTTAACTTTCAAGCACATCAATACTTCAACAGTGTTTAATATTTTAGTATATTTGAATGCCCGAGTCATTTCTTTGAGAGCTGGCTGGAATCAAATTGTTTTGCTGCCTTTTATTTCAGCTTACCCCAAAGGCATGGGCTCCACAATCCTCTTCCTTGCGGGAGGGTCGCAAGCTCACACTGATTCCACCAGTGCTGCAGAATAGCTGTCCTCCCTCTTATCCCACATGCTGGCCTGTATCTTCTCCCATTACTTGAGGCCTCCTGAAGCTCCTCTCTGCCCTAAATTGCCAGGGAAGCAGTCGACGTGGCATCATTTTCCTATTAATTGCTGATCATGCGATGGTGATGACTAAATTTCCATGACAATGAGCTGGCTTCCAGGTTTTTCCCAGTGGAATGTTTCCTGCAGAAAAAAAAGAGGTTTAACCAAAACCTGACTTATCTTTTGGAAGGTGCTTATCTCCATGTATTCACAAGTACTTCCTAGAGAAAAAAAACTTCAGAGTTTTTGTTTTGTTTTTCTATTTTGCTTCTTTTTTTTCGTGAGGTGATATGTAGATAGTTCAGAATTTTAAGTTTGCTGTGTCCTCCTTTTCGTGTGTTACCAAGTGTAAAAGGCTAAATGAAGTCTTGTAGCTATTTTCCTTATCTCATCTCTTTTTATTGCTTTGGGGATGTTTTCATTATCTTGCCATTTTTGAAAACATTTCACATTGGAAAAGCTCCAACATAGTAAAAGACAAGGAGAATGGTACAAAAGGAAAAAAGGAGGTAGTGAAAAGATGCTTAGGAGGAACCATTTTTATTGCAGTTTATGGCAGCTGAAGGAGAAAGAAGAGGGAATATATATTTTTTAGCCTCATCAAAATTCCTAAAGATGTAGATGTTTAGATGTCCAATTAAAAAAGAAATCCCATTTGGGCACGTCTGGATGGATATATTTTTTTCTGTCCCATTTTGACCTTCCTTGATTCTCCTTGGCATGGCTGCTAGCCCCCCTCTGCCCCTTAGGCTGTGTCGGAGGCGTCTGGAAGCGGCAGATAAGGAGCAGCCTTGCTTTAGCGTGGCTTGGGAGTCGCACAGCCCATGTCCTCGCCACGCAGAGGAGGTGTCAGGCAGCCAGCAGAGAGCCAGGCTGGTGTTTACCAGAAAGGTGGCGTGCCTGGCAGCAGGCAGGGGATTACGGGCTGCAGAAATAACTTTCCAGGAAGTGCCTGTAGAGATTTTACCTCTTTGTTGGGAGGATGTTGGGTCTGCACAAATCCCTGAGCCCAGTGAAGAAAACAACCCTGTGCACGAGGCTCTTGAAATGAAGAAAAATTAGTCTTAAGTTAGAAAGATGGAGCAAAGTGCTTGGGCACAGAAGTAAGTCTCCAAGCAATGCCACAGAGTTACAGTTTTTGAGGGTGGAAGTCACTGAGGATTTCTTCCCTTTCCTGAGCGCAGTGGCTGAGATGCTGGAAGGAATCATGAAGTGCCTCCGTGAAGGCTCGATATCCTGTTAAATGCCCCGTGTTATCTGTGCAATACCAGCAAATATTGCTAATCAGACAAATGCCCACGGACTTAACGCTCAGCACCTGGCGAGCAATTTACTGGAAGCCCCTCTGCGCTTCTGTGCAGCTCATAAATATGCAGATGTGATTTGTGTTGGTCTGATCTCTTACGTTCTCTGTCCATCCTTCACCCTCTAAAGCTTTGCTAGGTGTTGACTGATTTTGATCAAGATTGGTCAAGGGGTAATGGTCTGAAAGATAATTTTATTTTATTTTTTTCCTGAAAATCAGTGTCAAAAGAAAGAGACACCTGCAGGAGTGTGGTTCTCAGGGAAGGACAGCCCTTCCTCTGCTCGTTTCTGGGACCCTGCAGCTTCCAGCTCCTTTACCCAAGGTGATGGAGTAGGAATAAAGGTAACAGGAAGGGGCTGGAAGGTTTTGTGATGGGAGGGCTGCTGAACTGCAAGCATGCTGCAGATGTGATGGCTGGAGGAGTAAGGCACGTAGGATATACACCTACAGAAAACCAGACTTCAAGATTGTGCTGCTCCCAGACGGAGGTGGTTACTGGGAATGTTGTGTTACAACTGGATTTCTCGATCGCTGATTGTGATCACCTTATGCTGTGTTAGTGGGTAGGGGACTTTGCCTGCAGTGAATTAAGGCGTGCAGTGTTATGAATAGTTTCCTTACTCGGGATGGCCTTACTCCAAGCCTCAAGGTAATTTATAGCCCAGGTAGGCACGCTGTTGTTGAACAAGGCTATATATGGAGCAACGGGAGCATGATTTGGGGCTGTAAGCAACAGTGGCGTTTGTGAAGGGCAGCTCAATATTCTTCATATTGCGGGCACAAGCATAAGCAGATTTTTTTTAATTGGATTTTGAGACAAAGCACAGCTGGTACGAAGCTTTAGCAGGAATTCAAATGCTGCTGCTTATTAATGCAGTAAATGATGATTTACAAGTCCTAGTTTTTGTGTTTACTGTTTAATACTCTGACAGCCGTAGACTTATGAAGCATTTGGGAAATGTGCTGATTTTTGCAAAACTCAGCTGCTTGCTGCTACAAACCTGTAAGAATTAAGGTGTTTTGACTTATCCTCTAGAAGGTACTTGATAAGGCAGGAGACCTTAGCCACAGCTTTTTAGAGCTAATCTTGCATCTTCTTTGGCAAAGGATGTGTGGGAAGCGGGAGAGAGAGCATGTGTAAGTATCCTTCTGGTCAGTGTAAAAATAGCAAGTTGGAAAGAAGTCACACACGCCTTAACCATTTCTCTTCTCTCTGCTGAGAGAACTGAGAAGAAAAGTGTATTTGACAAATGAGTTATCATGTAAGCCCCTCAGCAAAAGAAAACCTTTTTGAGCAAGAAAAGCACCATCTTCTTCCAGCTCCTTTGTACTTCTTCTTTTAGCGTTATGGGAAAAATGGTCATTTGGGGATTTTTTTCCATTTTTTTTAATCAGGGAAGAGAGGAAGCAGCACATAGAGACATTAATTGGTTGCTGCTTCCCTGCTCAACACTGCTGGTGGAAAAAGAAAACCTGGCGATCATCCGTAGTGCACATGGGCTTCATAGTACTTGGCACAAGGCAGCATGCGAGATGAAAGTGTGTCTCTTGACAGCCAGCTCCGTACTGGCAGCCTTTACTCCAGGCAACAAATTAATCCACTCAACTGTGTTCTGCATAATTGTTGATACTGTCTTAATTGGTACCATACGTTTCCCTGTGTCGACATGTCCATCATGTTAATGTCTGGGGACTGTTGTTTCCTGCCAACTCGGGAACAGTGGAGCCTGCTCTGTCCTAACTAAACTTCTAGCTAAAAAAGCCTCGGTGAAGAAGTGTGACTCCGTGGCAAAGGGGAAATGCAGAGCCATGTTGGGGCATGACTCAAAATTCATGAGTACAAAGGAAAAAAAAGGGACTCCTGATTTTGGTAGCAGTTGGAGCTGAGCCAGCTCTTCCAGGGCTCCCTGAGGACAATTGAGTTCTGCTTAAGTCAAATCTGAAGGCAGAAGAGCTGATCTGCCTGCTCCTAGGAAATAAGGGGTGGGGGCGGCAAGCATTTTTTAAGTGTCCTGGGCAAGACAGCTGCAGAGCTAATCGAGCCCGGTGCACTGGTGGCTTTGTGGATTGGGATCAGCGTTTTGCTTAATGACAGGCAGCTTGGACAGAGCCTGGAGGGCACACACAGGCTGCTGTCCTCTCAGTTCCTCCACGTGCTGAGGTCGCAGGGGCTTCGTTTGATCAGCAGGAAAGTCCTGGGGAGGTAGAGAGCTGGGTGCAGCCCAGGTGAAGACGACTGCGTGAGCATCACCAGCATCAGCTCCTGAGAGAAAAAGGCCACCTCGTCACCAGGTAAAGACCTCACTGAGCCTTCCCTCCCTGGCAAGGATGCAGTTGCCTCTGAAGAGGCAGCCTCTAAAAAAAACAATAGATGCTAGCATAAGGGGGCACATCTGGCCATCTCTCTTGCCACTTCATCTCCTAAATAAGAATAAATACCATTATTTGTTTCACCAGGGAGCTGTGTGGTTTGTTATTCGAGCTTGTGAGCAGTCAGGATCTATAGGAGTAGGCATCTCACTGAGGGCCATATGGAAAATGAGTAGTTGTGCCTTCAGGGAAGTGCTGGAACCATGCACGGTACGTAAGGCGTGAGCCAACACCATGAATGATGAGAATCAAATGTTGAATATATTTTTTTTATTCGGTTAGTGCCACCCCTGCTAAGCACTGAATTGTCTGGAATGGAAAAAGTAGCATGTGATCCTGAAATGTGAGGCTCTAGTGTAAGGTAAATGTTCAGGGAGGGCAAAAAATGTTTGCACAACTGACCTCGCTTCTAGTAACCTAGCATCTGGAAGTGTCAGACCAGTTCTGCAGTGAAATTTTTTCCTATATCATTGCCTGTGCACATACGCACGTACACACACACATGCGCTCTCACTTCTTCTTGCTCAGCTCTTGCAGTTGGTTGATATGAGCTGCACTTATTTACATCATTTTGTGCGCCCTCATCTCTCGTTCAGGCTGTTGGCTAGCTTTGAAGCAAAAATGTTTATGTGGAGATAAGAGAAAGAAGGCTTCTTTACTCTGCTTTTGTGAAGCCATCAGTGAGTATTTAGGCTACTGCCAGAGCGTGGTTGAAAAGCTCATTTAAGAGAGCAGCAGAACGCATGGAAACGTGTTTTGTGGAGGTTTTAAACTCAATACTGGCATTTGGGTCTGGAGAAGGGAAAACCAGGAGGGGAATAATGAAGAACTTTCGCACAGTCTGTTTGAAGTGTAACTAGAAAATATGCCTGCTGAACTGAAGTGCTTTATTTCTGAGTCCTGCTGTTCTCAGAAACCCGTTTTGGCATGTGCAGTGCAGTGGCAGTATCGGTAATCAATATGCCAAAAGAGATGTTGTTCTTCAGCGAGCCGTGGGCTGCCCTTTGTGGTTCCCAGGAGCTGAGGGGGGAGCTACTTCACTGAATTGGCTTAGACAGATGAAATGGCTGAACTAAAGGAAAACTCTTACCAAAAAAAAAAAAGAAAAAAGACAAAATGAGACCTCCAAGCTTTTTCTGGCATCTCCGTTCACCTTTCGTGGCCAAAGCACACTTGCAGTGTCTGATGCAACTCCAGCCCTGGTTACAGTCAGGCAGCCCCAACGTTTCTACCCCAAATCCTTTCTAGCCTCAGAGCTCCAGGGGTTCGGGTAGCAGCTGGGTGACCCTTTTCCCTTCCAAAGTGCCTCGAGGAGCCTTCCGTCAGCTCAGCCACTGCAGATAGGTGCAGCTGAGGAATGCAGCGTTTCTAGGCAGAGGGGAGAGGTGCAGGCTTATGAAGGGAGATGATAATTAGTGGGCTGTCTTAATGAGGTTTGAAACCTCAAGCAGAGTGAGTGAGCTCGGTGGTCTGGGCACACCTAGGAACAGGGCATCGGGGGGGAGTCACAGGACAGTGGCTGCGATCATGGGTGACCCCTTGGGGAGCACCCAGCAGGCACATCCCAACGGGTGCCACAGACCTGACACACTCAGGTGCTGCCTAAATGCTTTTTAGGCATTGTTTAGTGCTCGTTTCCTTGACAGAACTGTGGTATAAAGCAGCTTGAAACAGGGATTAAACTCAAGATCCTCGAGCCGATGGGTTATTTTAAGAACCTCCCCCAATGACTCTTCATAGAGCAGTGTCTGGGGAGCCTTTCAGGCTTCTGCACTTGTCTCGTGTGCTTCAACCTGTGAAGAAAACATCCTGGCTAGGCTCTGAAACGTTTCTCTGCACTTCACACTGCAGCAACAACTCTGTAAAACTCCTCAAAGAGGTGATTAAGTGTGTTTTGTCAGCACTCGAAGTGGAGGTTACATCGTCTCGTAATATATGTATGTAAAATCAAATCGGAGCAGTCTTCCATTTCGTAACGCCTTTCACCGTGAGGGAGACTCGAGTGCTGCATCTGCTGGTCAGACACACGGCACAGCGCTGCCTCGTTCCCCTGCTGCCTTCACGGCATGTGGCAGCAGTTTTTAGGACAGGAAGTTTGTATTATCTTTTCCAGTTGAGACTTTATTGAAGTCTAATAAGAAACTGGAATTCGAACAGGGTGCTGTGCCTGGTGTAGTTACTTGAGCGTTTGGAGAGATCATTTAAGGACTTCGAATGATGACAAACGGGGCTGCCTGGGGCTTGTAAACTAGACGTTGCTTTTCATGAAAATTCCCTTTAAAATACATTCCTGCTATAAAATTATCACACACACACCATCCAGTTTAAGCATAATGTCATTGTTTTCTCCATTCCTTATGTGATTCCAGTAGTATTTTATTTTTTTCTTGCAGTTTTCTGGGGGAAGAAAATGTCATAAACGGATCTGGCTCAGACACTGCGGTAACTTTTGGTTGCTTCTGCTTTTGATGTCTAAGTGAGCGGCCATCAGCATTGCTTCCTGCCAGGAGATGTCACTTCTGGAAGCAGGGATGATGTGGAGCTAATGCTGGCGGAGGGAGGAACAATCTCTTTGCTTATTGCGTCTCATAGTGCTGGGGCTGCCAGTGGCCTGAGAGCCTTCACCCTGCCTGCCTGCTCCTGCCTTTCCCTCTGAATGCTTTCTACCAGCCTACCCTTGCTGAGTTTTGGAGGCTAACAGTTTCAGCCCAAGCCAGAACCACTGTAAGTCACATATTAAAAATGTTTTACAAGGTTGTGCGCCAAATGGGAAACATGCACACAGGGCGCATTGTTCGCATGCGGCTGGAACTGGAGCCAGAAACAGCAGGAGAAGGGGAACGAGGCCACGTAAAAGCCCAATGGAAACCCTCTCCAGTCGTGCTGTTACAAGACCACGGGCCCCTTCACAGCTCCCTGGGTCACTGCTGCAGCTGCGCTCAGCTTTGCTGAAGCCTCTCAATTCAGACTCAAGATGCCCCAAATGCATCCAGGAGCAAGACAAATTCACATCCCTGTTCAGTGAGCAGAGAGGCTGAGGGTGGTGACAGAGGGGAGAGGATCAGCAACCCTGGTGCCTCCAGGCAGCGAGGGTCCAGGCAGGGGCTGCAGGAGGAGCCAGGGGGAAAGGCAGCAGGAAACCGTGGGGATAAGATGGATTTGAAGAACGGGGTCTGAACAGGCAGAAAGACATCAGTGTGAGCCCCAGCATCGAGGGGAAGATGTCCCCAAGTGGGCAGAGACCACGTGCTGTGCAATTTAGATTAAGCTGACACAGGACTCGAGAAGTTTGTGCTTTTGACCTGGCCCAGCTAAACCTTGTCTACTTGTTTGTTTGTTTTTTACCAGCATGCAGGGAAGGCCAGGGGCTCGTTAAATGGGAAGCAGCAACCTTGCATTTAGCATAATTGCAGAATTTATATTTGAAGAAACAGTTCGACATGGTTGTAATGTTCAACCGTAACAATGGCTCTAATATTTTAGATGGGCTTTTATCCATCCACAAGTCTTTGTTTCCTTTCCCCCCCCAGGTTAAACGCGAGCTTCATAATCACTGATGACGTAAAATAAATAAATGTGTTTAAAAAAATTAACTGCGTTAGGATGCTGCCAAGCTTTTTGCAGGGCTTACCTCTCCTACATTGTCTTCAGTATCGCATCTAGGCTCCCTTCCAGAAGATTTTACACCTTGTGTAGTTCTCCTGGCCTCCCTGGAGCTGTATCCCAGCGGGTTGGACGGGAGATCCCCACGCCAGAGACCGTTCCTCGCTGAGACGGTAACATCTGAAGGGACACGGAGCCATAAAGTAAGTGGAACATGACTGCTCTCGGAGCTGATTTGAACATGGTGTTGAAAGACGGAGCAGGGCGAGGGAGATCTAGGCTGCCTTTGATTTTTTTTTTTATTTTTTTATTTTTTTGTCAGCTGATGGTGATGCTGGCTGCCTGTGATCTTGCTGCTGACGTGCGCTGTTGACAGGCAGCGATTTTCCTGCCGGCCTGGTAGCAAGCAGCCGGGGGCTGTGCTTCTCACCAGGCAGGGGCTTGGATAAGAGAGGTGACTCTGAGAGGTCTCACCTGTGGTTACTGGAGACACTCAGTGGTGACAGCTCGGAGACCTCAGCTCAGGGTTTTTGTTGACTCTTTTATGAGTTTTTTGCCTTTTTTTCGTTGTTATTGTTAAGTGGGTATTCACACCATCGTGTTCCCCAGGTGATGCACTGACATGGGAGGCAGGCAAGAAAAGAGACAGTGACAAATACCTCGTTCAAAAGTGCCCTTTGGGGATAACCAAAGAACTGCAGAATAACAGAGGCTGGAAGGAGTCCCTGTACGTACCTCATCCAGTCCCTGGTGAGCACAGGGCCAAGCGAATGAAGTTGCTCAGGGCTGTGCCTGGTTGATGGTTTTGTATCTCCAAGAACAGGGAACCCACAGTCTCTCTGCACCACACTGATGTTTGACTGCTCTCAGAGTGAGAACACTGTTCCTAATATCCAAGTGGATTTTCCTGTCTTCTATCTCGTTCTCATCGCCCCTTGTCCTTTCCCTGTGCACCTCAGAGAGGAGCCTGGCTCCACCTGCACCATCCCAATCCAGCAGCACGGAGTGGAACGGGCACTTGGCCGGTTTCTCAAATGCAAGACAAGACGAATGAGTAGCTCTGTAAAGCCAGCCTGTGTTCTGTGCACGAAGAGGGTGAGGTCATGCTGATGGGGACAGTACTTTGTGTTGGAGAGTTCATTATTAATTGCGTTATCTAGACTTTAATGCTCTCTTTGTGGCGCACTAAACAATCGCTGTTTAACAATGCAAAGCACTCCGTCTCTGGGTTAAAGAATACCTCTGGGTTCTGTCTTTCATTAAATTTGTTCTGCTGTGTGTGCACAGCATTCCTTTCCACTTAGCCAGCCATCCTTGTAGGCTTTTAAGCAAGCAAGGCCGTAAAAATATTTACATTTTTCTATAGCACTCGGTCTGTACGCAGTCAAACAAGCATGGCACTCTCCGAAAAGTGGTGGGACTCAGCTGCAGCGTGTTGTCTGAGGCTGCAGAGGCTGATTTGCCTGCTCCCAGCCCTGCAGTGAGACGTTCTCATGTACAAGTGTCTCCACTGCAACCAGCCTTCTTCGCTGGTGCCTCAGGGAAAGGCAGTGTGTTGGAACTACACCTAGGCATAATTTCGAGCCTCAGGTTTTATTTGTGGGAAGAGCTATTAAAAAAAAAATACATAAAGACAGACGTGGTGCTCGTGCAAGACATGTTTGACACGCTGTTAAAGCCCCATGGATTGCAAGGAGACTGCAGTAGGTGGTGTCACCGCTGCTTCAGGCAGTCAGGGTAGCATGAGGAGTGTCTCCTGAGTCAGGCTTGATCCGTCACCCCTTCCACTGCACGCTCCCTATGTCAGCTCTGTGATTGATGGTGCAGAATCTGGCCTTTGGGGCTTATCGTGCTGAGCAGAGGTTTTTACTTCTCCGTGTGTGTTCGTTGTTCCCTGTTCTTTGTACCCTGGTTTTGGAGCAGGCATGGCAGCTCGAGGAAAATGAGCTGGATGGAAGAACCAGGCTGCAGCACGGATACAGCTGGGGGTGTGAGCTCCAGCACTGCCAGTGCTCACGGCTGCAGGGTTTTGCTAGATCCAGGTGTCCCAGCTCCACTGAAATTCAGTGGGGTCCTGGCTCCAGGCGGTCTGTCACAGGCACCGTGCTGTTACAAGTGAGACTCGAGTAGCTGCAGGGATTTTTCAGCATGCCTGGGCACCTTGCTCCTGCTAATATCAGCATAAGGTAGCAGCCTTGCTGTGTTTGCAAATCCCACTAGACATTTACTGCAGCTCTGAGCAGTGAAACCCTTCAGACAGGCTCCTTTTCCTTTTGGCTGCACAGGAGTATTCCTGGGAACAGAGGGAACAGAAATGCAGGAATCAGGATCCCAACTGCTGAACCTGGTTGTTCTGAAAGACAGTAAATCCTTCCCAGATACGAGGAAAAGCAGCTTATCTCTCTTCCTTTGTTATGAAGCAAAACCTTTCACTGAATTTATATTTATATATATAAACACATGTGTATATAGCAGCATAGTAGTGTAAATAATTTTGTATCCACTTTTAAGTCAAGAAACAATTTCTACAAAAGCCACAGCATGTTCCCCCATTTGAGAGAATGGATATACAAATTGAATTTTAGCTACTTTCCCATCAGTATGCTTATATAAATGCACAAATAGAGCTCTACAGACTCTCTATAGACTACAGTCCTTCCTAAATATTCTGTATGTATGATTTACCTGCTATAGTTCATGAGTGGAAATAAAGATACGTGTTATATACCTCAGCAAAGTGGGTTTTACTGAATTGTTTCTTTTTTTGTTTTGTTTTGACACAGAGTCATGGTGCAGCTTCCCAAGACGGCCCTCAGAAGGAGCACTCTGGAGAGCTTGAGGCTGGTACATACAGCAAGAGGTACGCCTTGGAGATGCTCTTGACTGCCTCAAGACATCCTGCTGAAGCTGACATTTCTGTTAAATGACTCCATGCTGATCACATTATTGCAGTAAATGCTAAATGAATCTGATGTTGAGCACGTACGTTCTTACCTGTCGTGATAACTCTATGTTAATATTACATTAATTATTCCTGAGTTACAATGCTGTTGGATGTTGATAAAGGCTGAATGGCTTCATGAAATGCTGATCCTGACAGTCCTGTGGCAGGCGCTAAAATGTGATTTCCAAGTCTTAGGGGGGAAAAAAGGAATATATTACTATTTCTGATTAGAGGACTTCAGAAGAAACATATTCCAGTCACATCTTGTGGAGCGCTCGCCTGAATCCCTCTTGCTTTCAGTAGCTGTTGCCTTTGCATAAGACATAAAAAGGAATATACTCTTCACTTTTTCAGTTAATATTTTATGGTGATTGCTGATGTAGAACCAGCTCAGCGTGTATGAACACTTCTCTACAACAAAGACTGTGCGCATACGGAGCTGCGGTCATTTCCTTGGTGCATGAGAGCTGATGCGTTGGAGCAAAGCTGGCGGAGCAAACATGGGGAGATCACTTCTCGCTGGTACCACCTTCCCTGCAGTTTTGCATCTGAGCTCTTGGACAGCTCTGCCGAGGCCCGTTTCTGCACACCTACTGGTTATCCCAGGCATCCCTTGTGTAACTCTGCAGTTTTCATGGTGAACTTCGTGGTGAAGTTGAAGACTGCCAGGACTGGGAAATCACAGTGCTTCATTTCCCAGTGAATTGAGCAAAATATCAGAAGAAAAAGGGTTTGGGATAAAATTACCAAAAGCACCTAAATTGCTTAGGAAGCCTCATTCGTAAGTTATTGAAACAATCTCTGGGGTGGCCTCAGGTACCGAGGTGGGGGTTCCTCCACGGGCAGATGTTCTGATGAACAACCCATCAATGATCTCAGCAGCTGGATTAATGCAGCGTCCCACCAGCTACGTGCAGCTAAGGTGGTCCAAAGCCACCAGTCCATGCTCTGTGTAGGTGTTGTGGAGGAAATAAGCAGCTGTGACTTCTCCCAGTGCCTCCTCACCTCCCCAGAGACTGGATAACCAGTGTGGCAGGGGAAGGGATCAGAAGGGGAGAAGAAATGTCCATAAAGTATTTTCTGCTTGTTTGTTTATTTATTTATTTACTGGGGGAGGGTGGTGGTGGTGGCAGTGTATGTGTGGGTGTTTTTTTTTTTGTTTTGTTTTTTTTTACCTTCTTCTACTCTCTTGCACAAGCAGTCAGTCTGTTCTTCACTGGAGGGAAAATGTTCCATCTCTCGGAGGGTGTTTGAGGTTTCTGTTTGTTTGTTTATTAAAAAAAAAAGAAAGCATCTGGCGTATGTATGCAAACATTAATGAGTCGTTTAAAATATTCTCAGGGCTGCACTAGTGAGATTTCCAGCTATAAGAAAAAAATATGATGGAAGGGAGCAGGCAGACCCCAAAGGACTGTTTTCCAAGCATAGAACGGGGTGAGGAATCTTACTTTTTTACTTCCTGCCTCTTCTTCCCCTCACCACCACTCCCAGGAGCATTTCCAACCCTCCAAACCCCTTGGTGAGGACTTTGAAATCCGAGTTGAAACGAGTCTCTTTGAGACTGCTGTGCCCTCTGTAGCGAGCCTGATGCTTGCCAGTGGTTCTCTCCAAGAAAAGCAGTTTATTTCCGACACTGTGCAGGGCCACAAATAGACTTGCCATTGGGGAGAGAGAAGTGTGGGTCAGTGTAGCTCCGTCCTTCTGCTGAGACAGCTGGAACCAGGAAAATCAATTAAAATTCATAAGTATGTAAGAAGTAAAGCTCTAAGAAGACTCAACTGCTTTCTCGGGCGTTTATAAGCAGCACAGCGGGCTGAAAAGCTCTGGACAGAAAGTATTTGAAGGGCAGCGGACATGAGGATCCCTCACACTGCTGGGATTACAGAAATTTCTCGAGTTTCTTGACAGGAGGCAATTTCCTAGTGCAAATTGAACATTCAAATCTCCAGCAGTGTAATGATTAGAGAATTCCAGTTTGGGAGTAAGAACTGCTTTAGATTTGTCTCTGGGAAGGAGGTATAAGCTAAATCTCCCCAAGGGAAAAGGCATTCATATACACTTTCAACTTGTATCGGAAGCAGTATAATTATATTGCGCTGGCTGTGCCCAGCCTTCTCCCTCTGTAAATGGGCCCAAGCGCTCAAAGATCGGTAGAACAAAACTGTTGCGCTATATGCAAAATGCTAGATCTTGTTTGCTGCTTGATTTTGTTTGCCTGATTTTGTCTATTCCTGCTTCTCAGGCTTTTACCACAGAGAGAGGAACGAGAACTGAAGCAGCTCCAGCACCTGGGACCTGTTTAAGAAAAAGTAAGAGGACTGTGTGTGATCCAGGCTTTCAAAATCCATTAAGCAAATCCCCAGAAATGGCGAAACTGCCTTAGGCATCCCCAGAGGTGATGGGTAATAACTTTTGCCGGGGCCTTTTGGTGCTTGCGCTTTCATGCTTTGAATGTTAATCTTCTCTGAACCTTTTTCAGCCATCAGAGAGGCTGGGAACTCAAAGGCTGAAGTAAGAGCGTAACATGACCGCTGGAGCTGGCATTTCTAAAAAGTGCCTACGACTTGCCACATCTTTGCCACAGAAACCCAGATAAAGGCCAAGCCCAGTCTGGCACTAAGAGCAGCAGAATTTGCTCCAGCAAAAGTATCTGTATTTGTCTGATTGCAAGGGTGAGATAAAGAGCAGGGAATGCTCTGAAAGACGTGCAGTTCCAAGCCATGGCTAAACCCCATTCCTCATACCTAAGAGGAGCTTTGGGATGCATGTTTTAACTCTTCCCTGGTTAACTATTTGCAAGTGGTTACTTAATCAATTATCTCCCTATCTCGGAAAGCTTTTTTATTATTGAAAACTCCTAAGAAGCAAGCTGGGTCCAGATTCCAAGATGCAACAATGGGCCTGTTACAGCCAAAAATTAGGAGGGGTTTGCACAATTTCTCCAACTGTGATGTGATAAAACAAAGAGATGAGAGCAGCCTCGTGTCTGTTATGGGCCAGGGGAGCAGGAGGGCTGCTCTGGCACATCCTGCTTCAGCCAAACCTGGAGCATTTAGCCTCTGCAGGGTTGTCCTGAAACCACACCTTAGGGCATGTTGTGATTTTCAGTCCCTGTACAAAATAAGCACGGGCAGCCTGGTAGCAAGGTGCTGCTTCGAGCCCCTTTGCTGGAGGGAAGGTGCTTTGCCTTGACACAAATCTGCTGTGGCTTGCAGGGGATGGGAGGAGGTAAATGGGCAGCACTCTGTGGAGGTGGCAATCCTGCCTTGTGTGAGGGTCCCCATCCCTCCTGCTCCTCCTAGGGCTGGACAGGTCCCAAACCATCCAAACCCTGAACGAGAGGTGCGTCTGCTGAAACATCTCCTCTCGCCCAGAGAGATGTTCTCTCGCAGTTCTTCCCTGTCCTAGTGAACTCATTCATCTTCCAAATTGCTTTTTGTAGACGGCTGCTGAATCATGCACAGAAACATTTATGGCAGGGGAAAAAAAAAAAGAGGCTTCCTCAGGCAGTGCTCAGCAGCATAGGGCAGCTGAGGCAGGGTTTTCCTCACCCCTCTGTGTGGGAGTAGCTTGCATTTGAGTAAAAACAAATGATTTATATTTATTTTCACTTTAGATGCTTTAAACAAGGCTTCCTTCCTTTTACCTTTGGTAACAGGTACCCATGTTGTAGGGAACGACTTAACTATTGGCACAAACTGCATCTGCTCTGGAGGAGTGTGCAGGCAAACCCTCACATCCCTCCACCTGGCAGTGTCAGTTCCCCATGGACATCTGGGTCCAGGCTCCTGGGTGCAAAATAAAATGGGTGTTTTGGATTTCCAGGGCTCTTCTGAATGATGAGGTAACAAGGGCTGAAGCTTCAGCTGCTGTGGTGGAGCTTAAATGTCTCCCCGAGGCTGCTGCTGGGCTTATTTCTTGTAATGAAGAAGGGAGCAGGGTGCTGCGGCGGGGAAGGATTTTGATGATTTTCTTAGTGCTGCTTGTGAGGCTGAAAAAAGACTCACGTCTTCAGGAGACAGCCAGCTCCTGAAGTGGAATGAAAGCAGGGGGAGCTAGAAATCAGGAGGGATGGCTCTGCTCTAGCTGATGGAAAGAGCTGGGAGAAGGGGTGCGCTTTTCTGCAGACCAGAGTGGCTGCCAAAGGGGATGCGGGGCATCCAGTGAAGAACGTGCATGCAGAGGGAGTCTCCGTGTTCCTGCACCCAGCCTGCTGTGGTAATTAATCTTTTGTGATCCTGACAGATGCCTGCAGAAGAGCAGAAACAAAGATCCCACTCTGACAGTGATTAATGCATCGTTAGTTGTCAGGCTAAGAATTTTGGAAGCGGGTAAATAAGCACTAGCCCCAGAGAAAACTGCAGAGGATTACGGCGTGGGGGGAGCTGGGGCTCAGCACTTATTACCACAAGCACTCAGTGTGTTTTATTACTTGTCTGAATCCACCCTGTTCCCACGACAGGAGGAGAAGTGGATGCAGGATTTCAGAAGCAGAGCTCTACCTCCAGCTTCAGTTATACAAGAAAAAGCAACAAAAGACACCGCCGACCCAAGCCTGGGCTGGCAACGTCTGGGACGCTGACCCCACAAAGCACCTGCAGAGGAGGGTGGCTCGAAGGTAACTGAAGGCTCTGCTGTAAATGTCTGCTGTAAAACACTTCGGCCTTCATTCAAGAAAGGCCTCATAGCTGCTGAATGCCTGGTGTCCTTGCCACAGCACGGGTTGTGCTCCTGTTCATGCTCACCCAGCCTGGGACTCGGTGCCTTGCTCCCCGCAGGGCACCTGGGTGCTCGGGGGGCTGCTGGGGAGCTCCCCGCACCTTGCGGGGCAGGACCTAGATCAGGAGCTTCCTTGGGCTCGTGCAGGAGCACTTCTTGGGATCTCTCACCACCCCTTTTTTACCTGCTCTGGCTCCCAGGCTGGGGATGGGGACGGCACTGCCAGACCTGGGCAGTGACACCAGGACCTGGTGGTGCTCAGGTGCATGACAGCAGAGATGTTGGGACTGGAGCAGCTCTGGCCACAACTGGGAGTGGGATAGCAGCCTCTGGAGGCTGAGACACGAATCAGGATGCAGTGGGCAAGTTCAGGCACTTCCAGGGCTAGGCAGCAGTTGAATGGGAGCACGGAGCTCAGGGATTGCAGTTTTCAACCAAAGGGCCCAAGATCTGCCAAAATCTTACTTAAGGTGCTTATTTGCAGGCTTTGATTTTGTTTTAACAGTGCTAGCCTTAATGGCTTGCAGTTTTTTGTAAGATGGGGTTACAAATGCTCAGCCCTGCTTCACAGAGAGTGCTGCTGTCTCTGGGTCAGTGTTCCTACAGACAACTGCAGTGTGTAAAACACAGCACTATGTTCTCGGCCTCATTCCCACATCAGTTTCCAAGCTGAATCCAGGTACCTAGGGGCTGAGATGTTTGTCAGTGAGGTGATGTTTTTCTGGCTTTTTTGCGGGATGGGATTCCCCCAGGAGCAAATCTCCATGAAAACCTGGGGACAGAGGATGGCTGCAAGCCCTGATTAACCCTAAAGGGTGTGACGTGACCAGGGTGGAGCCTGCACATGTCTTCACCTCCAGCACAGCACATGCTGCTCAGGACTGGGCACAGAACTGGTATTTTGGGATTAGCTATGGTTGCACGCAGCTGTCCTGTGCTCGCTGATTTTCTCCTGGGTGGCTGAACGCAAACGCTTCCATCCCTTTGGTTCTTGGTGAGAAAAGCTGCTGACACTGGCTGTGTCTGTCTTGTGGAGCTGGTGTCTACCATAGTTTGGTTGTGACCTTCTGACTGTCCATATCAGGGCTCTCTTGGGCCTCCTGCAGCTCTCCTTCAGCCCCAGCTCCCCATTTTGCTCCTAACATGTTTTGTTTCGCCTGATGGACGTTTCCTCAGAAACGTCCCCTGCCTCAGCTCCCCAGCCCTGCTGCCCCCAGGCCTGCTCCAAACCTTCCAGGCCCAATTTCCCTGCTGTGAAAACACAGAGCCACGTTCTCGGGCTGATGTAAGCTGGTGGAGCTCCGTTGATGCTGATCCAGCTTACACAAGCTGCAAATACATCTGAGAGTAAAGGAATCGCTGTTATTTATATGGCTCCACGGATGAACTGGGTGCCGTGCAGGGTAACAGCCTTTCCTGGGGCAGTTTCCAACGTGACTTGCTCCTGAGCAAAGCAGAATTCCTCTATCTCACAGCTGCAGACATGAGGCAGAGGTCAAAGGCCAGATGTGAAATAGATTCAGGCCTAGGAAAACAGAAATACCCCAAAGCCAGAGCCCCTCAGAGGGGCTGGAGCCAGCGGGGCTGAACAGCCCTCCCAGGAGGAACCTGCTTCGCTGCACCAAGGTGCTGCCCAGGACATCAACAGTTCTGTTACCTGGAGCTAAGGTAACATTTTTCAGATTCCCCTGGATTCAAGGGGTTGCGACATCGCTTTTCTTTTATTTCTTTTTAACATTTTCCCATTTTTTCTCAGGGGGAGCCCAGCTTGCAGGTGCCAGGAGGCTTCTCGCATGGTTAGGCGGAGGAACTGCAGGCTCCCCTCCCATGACAAAGGGAGCAGGAGAAAGTGGAGCAAGAGGCTTTCCCTCAGCTTGTTCGTGTATGTGGCCATGTTTTTGTTTTTTTCTTTTCTTTTTGCTTTTTTCCAATGGGAAATTCATCAGCAGCTGTGCTAGCTGACGGGGCGGGAGCGAGCATGGCCCGCGCTAGCTACAAAGCTACACCCTGGAAAGCACTGCTGTGACCTGAAAGCGGAGTTTATTAACTCCAGATTTTTACAGCACGGCTGGCATGCCAACAACGGAGCCTGAGCACAATGAATCACTTGCAGCCCCACGCCAGGGGAAGGCATCTCCGAAGCTGTGCCAGCCTGAGGCACGCACAGCCGCCGTGCCAAGCGCCAGCTGCTGAGCAGCGGTGAGCTCTTGGTGGGGCTGTGGGCACCACGCTCAGGGGCTGTCACTGATTGCCTGATTAGCACACCCACTGGTAATGGCAACTGGTTTGCTGAATACAGAGTGCAGGTGCCTTAAATAGTGGGCTTGAATGTTACTTGTAAGCCTAGAGGGCTCAGGGCTGGTTGGTCAGTCGACAGGGGAAAAGGAGGTGAGTTACAGGTCCTGCTCAGATGGGGGGAGGCTTTAAGGAAAAGGGGGAATTGTCCCTGAAGAAGGAAGTTGGACACCAGCTATCGCTGTCCCAACAACCACAACCCATTATCTGCTTTGAGGTGTCTAGAAATACCTTTTCCATCCCATTTATCTATGGGAGCAGGTAGAAAGGCTAGGGAAGGTTATCTCCTACTGCTGCTTGATGCTGTTACTCATCTGGAAATAAACCTCCCTGGGCTGGCAGGGTTAGATGTGCATCTTTTTACCTGCATCCCCACAGCATCAGCCTTCCTGGGGGAAGTCTGAGCTCCCCTGTGTGTCACTGTCACTGCAGCAGGCTCGCACTCATTCTGCTGCTGGGGGGCTTGAAGCTCTTCTAGCTTTACTTGGAGAGGTTCCCTTTGTTTTATTTAGTGTCTGCTGGAAAGTTTTAGGAGGGAGTGGGACACGGCAGTAACAGCTGGAAGGATGGTGAAAACAGCAAACAAGTTTCCAGGCAGCCCTCTTGCAGTGCTCCTCCTGTCCGAAATAATGTTCCTCAACCCCCACCTCTCCTGCAGCTGCTGTCACTGGAGGTCATTGGCACGTGCGGGGGTTTGGGGAGGTAAATGAATTAGTCCTGACCTCCTTCTTCTCCCCCTGCTCCCTTTTCATTTTTAAACAGGGAAAGGCTTTGCCTGAGGGCTGAATTCAGGTCAAATCTGGAACTGGGACTCTGAAAGCAAACCTTTTCCCCCCAAAAATGGTGCTGCAAATTGGTCTTTCAGCCTTGTCTTCGGGTAAGAGATTAAAATTGTTTATCACTGAAAAAACTATGGTAGGAATGGAGTGAGTGTTTTGTCCTGTAGGAAATTTTTCCTGAACTTCTTCCTTTTCATCTCTTTATAGCTCCTCATTTTGAACCTTTCCGTTTCACTTAATGTGAACTTTGCGTGGGGGCACTTTCCTGTTTGCCCCCACCCCACAGCCCAGCGTGTTAGTTTTTGCTTGAGACCTTGTTGGTATTTCTGCTGAGCAAATACAGTTATCAAATATATTCAGGACTTAAAATTCAAGTGAGAGCAGCTTGTGTGGGTGCAGGGATGTGCATAGCAGGGAGAGGCGGAATAAAAGTTCAATTATTTTCCTTCCTTTTGTGTTGCAGGACAAACCTTCCAAAAAATGAAGGCTTCGCCACATGTTTTCCATAACCGGCCAAATAAAATATTATGTTTTAAAGCATTCAAGGTCAGGGAAATAACTTGGGCTCTGGGCTCAGCATTTTTTTCCTCCTCACAATAGCTTCTGCTGAATGATAATCTTGAAAACTATGCATGTGGGGGGCCAGATCCTGACCCCCGTTGCATCTGCTCTGTGTTGCTGCTGAAAATGCAGAGCCAGCAGAAAGCCAGCTTAGCTGGAGATTGCCCTGACCCCGTTTGTCAGCTGCGGTGCAGGACCCTGGGTGCCGTGGCAGGAGGAAGGGAATTTGCTGTGAGTTTTCGTGTGTTCGGGTACTTCTTGGGCGGGATTGTGGCTATCCCACTGCCAGCATCCCAAGGGCAGGGTGGTCCTGGCTGCTCCCACAGCAGGGCTCTGGTCAGCAGCAGCAGCCAAAGCTCTGTGTTTCAGTGACCCAGCCTTTTTCTCTAAAGACTCTGACTGGGTTGGCTTGTTACAGCTCTTATTTTTTCCTGATTTCTTCTTTTAACAGTAACTCAGCCTTGGCTGATTTGTAAAATGTCTGCACCGAGTTCACCCCTGATCGTCCACCCCTGGAATTCCAGTTCTCCTGCTCTGTTTTCTCGCAAATTGACAATGCTCCGAGCTTTCCTCAGAGGTGTGGATCCTGAAACAGACCAGGGAGGGAATTTTGGTTTGCATTAGTGTAATATTATAAAGCATACTTCCATCTTTTGTAACGATGGAGGAAAGATTGAAAACATGACCTGAATATGCTCCACAGGCTCAATAACTGGAAAGCAATGAATAAAGAACCCCAAATTCATTGAGTTCTTTGTTTGCTTGGATTTTTTTTTTAAACTAGCAACAGGATTTTGGAGGCCTCATTTGCACATTTATCCTTTGAATCCAGCGATGCTGGGATCCTGTTCAATGCTGTTCCAAATGGCTTTGCGTTTTCCCTTGTCATTAGTCATGTAACCTGCCCAAGGTCCTCTGTTCCTAGCCCAAACCAATCTCTTTTGGTTTTCATTTACTGAGGCTTAGAGAGGTTTTCTGTGAGGGGAAGTTGCCTTCGAGGTTGCTTGGGTTACTTGTGCTCGTGTGACCCAATGGAGCCAGAATCAGTGCCTCTCCCAGGTGTTTCCCAGGAGAGAAGGTCTGTCCTGACTGCTGCAGGATACGAATGACTTCTTTGATGCGCCCTTCCAAAACTGGGTGATAAATAGCCACATTTTGTAAAATACCAGCCTGGTCTGAGGACTGCTGATGTGGAGAAGCTCCTTGCCGTGCTGGCAGGGCTTCCAGCAGCTCACCTCTTTCCTCGCTTCTGGTCATTCCCACTGCTGCCCCTGCTTCTGTATCTGCTGCTTAAAGTAAGGACTCATCACAGGTCTGAGCTCATCGGTCACCCCCACGCTGTGCTTGCGTAATTTACCTTTATGGTGTCTTCCCCCTCTGTCTCTTTTCACAGTCCCCATCTCAGTTCTCACCATCTGGGCTTCAGTTTTATTTAAGCTTGGAACTGATAAAGCAAGGGGGCAATCTGGAAAGGCAAAGCCTACATCACAGGCAAAGTCTGCGTAGGGTGTATTTAACGTTACACTATTTGGCCAGAGGACTGGTGGCAAAACTATTGCATTGAATGAAATAGAGACCATTTACTCTAAAAAGTTACCAGGAACAGGGCAGACAAGCAGGAGCCCTTTCATCCTCTTGGGGTTTCTCTTATCCTGCCAGCTTCTGGGGTTGCTTTCCTGCCCTTAGCCCTGGTCTTCCTGGTGCTGGCCCATGGCCACCGGCTTGGCTTGGAGTCCCAGGGGCAGCCCACAAGAGGAGGGGTTGTGATATGAAATCTCAAAGCCTTGCAGAGATACTGAGGTGCCTGACGGTGCAGGAAGGTGCTTAGTGGCCCTTCAGAAGTTCCCAAGTAGGTTGCAGGGAGAGAGGAGGAAAAAGTTCACGCTGGGGATTGAATCTGACCCACCTGGAGGCCTTGAAAAACCCCACCTGACCCTCCTCTTCCTGCCTAGCCTCCTAAATATCTTGGAAAATCTGCTTCAAAGTAATTGGTGCTTCTGTTGATCACTTCTGCCTGCCCAAGACTGGGAAGGGAGCCTCGGCAGAGTCCTCTCTTGCTGCATGAAACCACTGCCACACCACTACAGCAGGAGGGATGCGCAGGTCCTAGGGAAGGCATTACTCGTCCTGCTGCATGTCTCAAGTTGACTTAGGTTTGCAGTGGGGCTGTCAACAGCAGCTGGAGAGCTTTGGTCCTTGAAAGCCCTATATTGATCACCTGGGTTGGTTCTAACTCTTTAATCCTTTGTCTGCAGCCTGATGTGTCACAGCATGGCTTGGAGACGAGGTGTGCTGCCCTATTGGAGCTTGGGGTCTGGCTGACCAGGTCCAGGAAGAGCCAGGAGTGCAGATGGGCTTGCAGTGTTTGAAAGCTGCACAGACCTGTAAGTCGCTGTTATTTATATAAATTGGCCTGTCTCTTTTACATCTGTATTCTAAACATCCGTTACATGGCAATACTGCTTTCAGTGGTGCGCCAAGTTTTCCTTCTAAAACACATGTTCCCCAAAGCCTCAGTATTTTAGTTCCTTTGTTCTGATTTATTGCTGTTGCCTTACCACATCTGCTAGACGCAGAGGAGAAAAACCTCCCCAAAACGACATAAGAGCCCTCTCTGCTCGCCTCCCCAGACCACATACATCAGGATTAACGCGCTGAGTCTGTTATATAAAGTGATTCAACAATAAACTAACTCAGCTTTAATTTCTTATCTGCTTCCAAATAGAAGTGCTCATGAAGAATAAGCGTCTGTGGGTTAATAATGCCAAGACTGAGATAAAACCCAAAGCTACTGTGGGGAATGGAAAGTTGGGATAGATGTTAAATCTGGAGAACGATAGAACGAGATGAAAATATAAATGTGTCAATGGCTGCATTTTCTAAATCTAAGTAAGGATTTTGTGGGTATCAGTTTCTGTTTTTCCTCTGTCAATACCTAAAATGGCCTTGTTTTTCAAAGGATGAACTCTCTTCTGTGAAGTAAGGCCCCTTTATGGTATCTCAGGGTAAGCATCAAGCAATTGCTGGTCACGTAAAGAAATTGGCTGTTATTGTGAAGATTGTAGAGACGCTTGAGACAGAAAAGTTGTACTAAAGTTGGCTTTCCTGGAGGTTTTTCAGCTTTGATCATAGGGGAGGGATACAGTTTTTCACTGGTAGTTATGCTAAAGTGAGCATCCCATTTTCTCCCTCAAACACAGAGCTACAGCACAGAGCTTGAGCTGTGGCCATGAGTCTGGTAGACCTCAGCAGAGAAATTTTGGTTAATACTTGGGGTACCCACAGCACCCACCTCCTGCACCCTCAGGCACGGCCAGGAAACATTCCGGTCCGTACCCACAACTGGTTTTGTTTTAATTCTGCAAAAACCTGCAGAATTGCTGGAGTTTGTGCTGCATTGAATGCCTGTTGGACACAGTATCCAAGCTGCCTCCTTGGCAGGAGGAGGTCTCTCTGCCGCATCCAGGACACCTGGGCACCTTGCACATCTCTGGGCAGGTATTTTGAGTTTTCAGTAGCTGTGCTAGCAGGGTGCTGGGATACCCTTTCCTCCCAGAACACCATCAGCTTTAGCAAAAGCCAAGTTGACATTCTTCTTCTTTTTGCTAGGGGGGAAACACATCGTGTCCCGGTGCTCTGTGAGCACAAAGGTCCAATGAAGCTGGGTGATTGCAAGCGAAGGGAAGTCCTGGCAAAGAGGAACACTATTCATATTTGTCATCCTAATATCTTCCTTCTTTGTGTAAGCCAGCCCGACAGCAGGTTGTGCTCTGTCGGGTGCACTCACCCTGGTTGCTGGTTGAGCTGATGTACCACGAGCTGCTTTTCTTCACTCATTTCCTCCCTCTGAGGCACACTGGTGATGTGAAGCTCGTTGTCATATTCAGGCCTGTTACTTGTGTTAGTTAACAAAGGAGAGCATTCAAAAGCCTGCTCAGAGACTTTTTTTTTCTCATTTTTAAATGGAAACCAGCTTTCTTAGCAAACCGTATTCAGGAATGTGCTCCCTTGAAACCAATATGAAGCAACAGCAGTGGTTGCAGCCAGTTGCAACATCTCGTCTTGCTAGATGCAGGCAAATCGTGTTACAAGTTGTGCTGCTAGCAAAATCTCTGCAAAGGAAATCTGCTGAGACCTGTATAGCTGGGGGTTGCTAGCTCTTCTGAGGTGAGCTAAAGACCTAATTTCACCTGGTTTCTTTGAAGAATGAGCTCTACATATTGCAGCCAAGTTCAATGAACTGAGGATTCAGTAAGCCTAGACCTGACTTTGAGAGAATTTGGACCGATACGTTGTTTTTACTGGAAATTGGGTCAAACTTTGACCCCAAACCAACAAAGCTTTCTGATTTTGCACAAATTTCAGGATTCTGTTAGGTGGGGAAGTCAGAGATGGCGATGAAACAGAAAATGCGCACTGCTGCATGAGGCTCACCTAATTCCTGATGGCAAGACCAAATCTGAACACAATGGCCTGACCACTGCTGTGGTGAAATTCAGAGCACGAATACGGTATAATTGATTTTTTTAAATCATATTTCATTCTAAATTCTATTGGAAATGAATTTTAGACCATTCCCATCTTTAATCCAAACAGTACTTACAGCAGGATAGCAGGATACTCTGTACCAAAGTCCAGTGAACGATATGGATCAGTATGTCATGTGAAACCCTTAGGGGCTTTCTCAAGGGGCAAGCTCTGTTTAGTTTGGGGGAAATAAGACAAATCACTCTAGTCTTGTTTAAAGTGCTTGTGAGAAGATCTTTCTCAGAAAGGCTTAAGCGCATTGGCCCTCTCCTGTTTTCCTAGAAAACAGGAAATGAGTTTCAGCTCTGCAGTTAACTTGATTTCTTAGGTGTCTTGCTTTCTGCAGTCACTTTTGGGGTCTAGAATGCTACAGAAATTATCTGAGGGCATTTTCAACACTTCAGAATTAAAATCAAATTGTTGAAATATTGCCAACATTTAAATGAAAATTACTTTCTCTAAACAAACACTTGAGGACTTTCCACACTTTTTTTTTTTTTTATCACAAGAGCATTCTTAGCCCAAACACCTTCTCTCTGTGGTTTCTCAAGTATCCAGTCTGCACTGTTAAAACCAGATGTGCCTTAGGATGTAATTGAATACAAGACCTTTTTAGCCAAAAACTAGATGAGTAAGGAGGGACAGTTTTTCACACAGCACAATGATGTAAGTGGGTAACTGCAAATACCATCCCTGTCTCTTTGCCCATGGAGGTGTCTGGGCAGCAACACTGGTGCAGATTTCTGCTGTGGAGGAGAGCTCAGGCATGGGCCTGAGCATCTGGGTCCCGTGCAACTCCTGGCAGTCAGCAAGGGATAACAGAGGCAGGAGCTGGCTGGGAAATTGCTGCTCTGCAGTGAGAGTTGGGTGGTTGTGGTTGTTCAGCACTCGGATGCCACAGGTTGCATTCACTCCATCCGCACGTGCTTTTAACAAGTGCTGTTGTTCCTCTACCACAAAGGATGCGTGTAAGTACACGAGACCATGTGGCACCTGTGATCTTGGGATTTTGACAGGTTTCTCCAAAATATAATATTTTCTGCTATTCACTTTTAACATATTTGCAGGAGGCTGCCTACAAGATCGGTTTCCTATTAAAAATATCCCAGTATCACCAACTTTCCTAGCCTTTTCCTGCAACAGTAAGTAAGCTCTTTGCAATGGCAGTAGCAAGGGAAGCATTACAAATCTTGAGACCTCTCCTCAGTAGCTTTAAATGTCATGACACTGACCTACAGAAGCTACAAACAAAACAGAGCTGCACAAAAACATTTCAGCCCTATGGACGTGGTAATCCTTCAGACCACAACTCTGGAACGCTTTTCTGTAGTACATATTATGAGGGTAACGCTGTTACTCTCAGCTGGCTTCTGCTTAGCTACCCAAGCAAGGCTGGAGCTGGAAATGCGGAGATGGAAGAAGAGAGAGAGGATCTCCCAGGGGGTTTTATTGGCCAGAAAATGCTGGCTTGGAAAAGGATGCGGAGCATGTTCAAATAAGAATAGTCTGGAAGGAGTTTGTGATGGGCTGTTATTTCATTACCAGCTAAGAGATGTGAAATTTCCTTTTCCGGATGAGCATATTTCATCTTTTGCATAAGACAGCAATTACTCCTGGTGAGACTTAACAGTTCTGGTAATTTAACGAGTTAGCCCTGCAGATTTACTGCATCAGTCATTGGAAAGGCCTCTTTGGCGTTCCACAAGCAAGTTTCAGACCTCTTGATAAAGCCAGTAGCGTGCTGGTCTTTGACAAGCAGAAAGACCTTCAGAAGTATGCAAGTTATTGCTGGTATGTTGTACTCTAGACATGTCAAGGAAACATGGATTATTTTTACACAAACAGGCGAATCAATATAGTTCCTTAGCAAGCTCCCATAAAAACCCTTGGGCCTTGAGAAAGTAGAAGGCGTAAGAAAATCATTGCTCTTGGATTAGGCTTCCTAGATGGATCGTGCTGTCGCACATTCAGTAGTTCACTTACAGCAGCTTGGACCTCTGACGAACGATGGAGGGAGTGAAGGATGAAACAGAAGACAGAAACAAACAAGGAATTTAGAGATAATCCGGATATTTGATCTTTAATGAACTTATCGTCAAATGTAGACTGTGACAAACTGCAGATGCTTTTGGAAGTTCTCTTTTATAGCTGTTAATTGGAAGGTGATATGTAGGTGTTGAGAGGGAAGGGAAATTTCTGCAGCTGAAAGCATCAGGCGGTGCTGAAGCAAGGTCACTGGAGTGTCCTAAAATCTCTTGATGCTCCAGCACACAGACTGCTCTACAACCTGCAAATATTGGAGGCTGTTTTGAAACTCTATTAAGGATGACATATGCTGACTGTAGTATCTGGGTAAAGGCAATTGGATATCCCAGCTATGCCCTAGCTTGATGTTTTATGTCTGAGCTGGTGTTACTGTGTAGGGCTCCTGTGTGTTAGATTGCCAAAACCAAATTATGACATTGACTAAGGCTGAGTCCTCTGATTAAGGCTAAAAAAAAATTAAAAAAAAGGAAGAAAGTACAGCCTGGTCTTGGCTCTCAGTGTAGATAAGTATTTTTCTGAAGAGCAAAGGGGATATTTATAGAAAAGAGGTGCAAAGCATACGTAAACATTGGTGTTTTGTGCACATCCTCATCCATAGTTGTTCCTTTGGGTAGTGTTTTTTCAGGTTCAACACCCTTGTCAAAATTCAGGTGTGGCACTTGTTGCTTTGGCTTGGTGGAGGCACAGCTGCCTACTTTAAGCATCATTTTGGCCTAGCTGGTGTCATTAAGGTTTCCATAGGGTCATGTCAGCAATTACTGCTAACTAGATTTTTTTTCTCAGAGCGAGGGTAGTTCTTTTGCAGATATTTCATCACAGGAAAAATAACAGGGAAGAGGCCACGCTTGTGCAATGAAAACCCCCGAAGCTGAGTGCTGCTTCAGGTATGTTATTGTCTCATGCAACACAGCCCTAGAGACGCTGCTGCGTGGCGTGTATTGTATCTACCTGAACTCTGAAACTAAATGCCTTTTAATGTTTTTTTCAGCCTTGCATTTAACATTTGTCATTCGCCTTTGATGAGAAGAAGGGGAGCTCTCAATGTGGTGCCAACACAACAGCAAACAGCAGGAGAAGAGACTGAGACAAGTAGCTCTGATGCATTTCACTGGTGAATGATACTGCTATTTCCTATTTTTAATCTGAATCTCTGCTCCTGAGAGTTTGAGCTAAACATGAAATTTTCTTTATTTTCAAGCAGAACATTCAGCAGGTTAAAACTCAGCACCAGGGGCTGGCCCTAAGATGGGGTTTGCTCTGGCTTCCCTGCTAAGCTGCTGTGTACAAATTGTTTCTGAAAAATGTCCGAGATGCTGTGAGTTGCTGCGCTGTCACATGGGCTGATCCAGCACAGAACCTGCTTGGCATTCTTGAAGGGAAATTATCCAGTGCCGCAACTCACAATTTATAATTGGTTGCATATTAATATCCAAAAAAGGCAATAAAATTCACTGTGTGTTTTTACAAAAAAAAAAAAAAAGTACTATAAGCCGAGCATTGAAAATCTGGAGTACTCCTTGGCTGGAGCAGAGCTGCATGCAGTGCTGTTTCTCCCTTAATTACAAGCAGTTTTAAATCATCTCATTCCTTCAAAGAAAGATTTTGTTCAGTGTTTGAGTTAATTTTAATCTCGCGAACATGATGCTCTCTTGGAACCTCTCCCTTGTGTCGTAACAGCGAGACGTGCTGCCTCTTTTGTCCCTGCCACCTGGGAAAGGCGCATCTACTGCTGCTTGTCCCTGTGGCCACGGGGTTGTTACTATCAATATACCTCCCTTTAAAGGGAAAGAAAACAGAACAAAACCCAACAGCGACATTTTTTTTCCCTAGAGTTCTCTTTTATTTGTAGTGTTTAAGCTAGGCTGTGTAAGTGCTTCCTGAAAATCGGTGATTTAAAATGTACAGCGCTGTATTGTAGTGGAAAGCTTGTTATTCAGCATACTAATTATTTCTGACTCACTGTATTTATGAAGTGTCATGTAATAGCTACCTCACCGCAATGCAAATAGTGTAAAATCAGGCTTTTTATGATTTTGACACTAGGTGCATAAGCATATTCTGGAGCCTCTGGGAGGAGGGTTACTGGGAATTAGATAATGTTTTTATGACTTCTAAAAAAAAATATGACACTGAATTTCATAATCTGTAATGCTCCACATGCGTAGTCCATGTTACTCATTTTATTACTCTCAGTGGTTTATGTTGCAAAGGTCAGCTGCAAAGAGAAAACGTCCAAAGGCTGTTTTGTGGAACAGGGGGACACCCATCAAAGCCCTGGGGACAAGCTGTAATTGCACGCCTGCACCATGCTGGGACACCAAAACTCATCCCAAACTGTTTCTGTTTCAGGATGGATGAGGGCTGGATTACACAGTGCTTGCTGAAGGAGGCGTTTTGGCCAGCACATGTCACTAGAGGACAAGTTTGGGGTTTTGCTGAGCCCTGCAGGAATGACCTGTTAGCTCCAGAGTAAGAGGCAGACCTGAACGTCTACGAGTGACAACTGGGAGTGAGTACAAAGAAGAAGGAGGACGAGTTGCAGCTCCAGGTGGGTTTCTGAGTACTCACATGTGGTCTCCAAAAACAATGGGCGGATGCTTCCCAAAATGTGTGATTTCGTAAAATACTGTGTATAAAACCAGGGCTTTTGGTCTCCTTTGTAACCTTGTGTGATGTTATAAAGAGTTGCAGGTCGTGTGCTTGGATGCTGGGAGAAGTCTCTGCTGAAAGTGGTTTCCAGGCATCTTGCTGGCAAGAGACAAGTGGTAATGAAGGACATTAGGCTTGAGAACACCTCAGATCGATATTGAAAATAAGTGAAAGCCATGTCTGCTCTTGAGCAACGGCAGCTGGGCATCTCAGCAGGTGTCTCTCCTCACTGCATGATAGGGGGCTAGCCTGGCCCTCCTTCATGATGTGGAGCTGGTGTTAGCAGCCTCTGGGAGGCTTATTGATGCTTCAGAGCCACCAGCCCCTTGTGCATGTGTACAGGAAGGCTCTGAAGCCATGGTGGATCCAGGTGGGTCCAGTTTAATCTGAATTTACAGCTCTTGGCAGATTTGGGTGACGCATATCTCCTTAATGCTTTACCCGTCAGCCTTAAATTACAAGGAGAGCTGTGTATCATATGCTTTGCCTAAACTGGGAAGTTGATTTTCCCTTTCCATGTTGGGGTGTTGTTTTATGCATGTCAGAAACAGACCCGTAGCCTTCAAGCCATTTAACCATAAATCTGGTTTAATTCTCCTATGGACTTCTATGCTTGCAGTGAGTCAAGGTCTTACAAAATTTTGATTTTCCTAAACTAAGCTTCATGGAAAGTGAAACTTTTTTAATGTCACAGAAATGAAATAACAATTTTTATCATTCCAGGTGCATCGCTACACTGATTTCCATTTTCTTTCAATTTTCAAATATGTGAAGAAAGAACTGTATTAACAGTTAGTACCGAGCGAGGTAGGAGGCTTTCACTAACCTTCAAGACTGCATATTGTATATTTTTTCTGACTTTTCTATAAATAAAAACAGCTATTAAGATGTAATGCCTCTGGCTGTTGTATCCGAGGATAAGTGTTTGAGATGCAATGAGAGATGCTCAGGGAATTGATAAGTCTTCAGAAAAAAAAAATTTCCTGAGATCAATTTCCTGATTCAATAGCAAAGTCCTCATATCATATAAAATGTAATGTGATTGTCCATGGCTCTAATAAAATCTTGATTTTTCTACCAAATTTATGTCTATAAAAATCAAATTTATCCAGCATTAGTCTGCATTTTAAAAGGGATAGGTTTTTCTTGATATGATATTAATCCTTTATGGTACATTAATATGGGAGAATAATAATTTGTTGCATTTTCTTCACATAGAAACAATCAGCTGGGAGATGTGCTTAATAATTGCCTTTGTCCTTCATTGTCACAGGCCATTAGCTAATGAATTTAAGCTGTTCTTGGCTCTTGCTCCAATAAGAAAACTACATTAAGAGATCTTGTAGCCTGGGTGTTATATAAACCCTTTCAGTGGGTTTTATTTTAATTTCACCGAGGTGACGGTGCCATGCACTGAGGAACACATCATGATTTTGCAGTAAACAGTGAGGTCAACGCTATCTGATATAGTGACCAGCAAGCTGAAGTGCATCTACAGTTGGTAAGGTTGCCAGATGCCACAGCCTCCTGTTTGGTTCCTTACAGTTTAGCGAAGCTCTTCGTGCCTGCTTTTCTGACAGTTTCAGGATGATCTTTGGGGTAGGAAGTTCACAAGTTCAACAAGTTCAGCTCTTCTAAGGTTGATGGTAGGGAAAATAAGTAGTTTAGGCAGTGCTTTTAACAAGCAATAGGAGCTTGTTCAACTCACAGTTCAACAGTCCCAAAACCTTTGCAGTTTGCCCTATCAACTAGAAGGCTGGAAAAAGAAAATCCTGTGAGGGTAGAGCTGTTCTTCACTGTCCTGAGAAAATACACTCATGTCTTGGCTATGTTTACAAAAAGATCGTATACAAATGCACAAAAGACTTTCTTTACTAATCATTCCTTTTACCTAAATAAATAAAAATTAGTCTACTGGGATGGGAAGTGCATTAGAAATCACAAAACGTAGAGTGCAAGTCTGTCTTTTCCTGTTGACTGTTTGTAGCATATCTTGGTCGAGCACAGAGCGCCTGAGTATTTTAATCCTACTTCAAAGGTAGGTAGGTAAGTAAGCATCATTACTTTCATTGCAGAGATAACTAAGAGGTTGCAAAAGCTAACCTTTGGCAGAGCTGGGAATGGATGCAACTTGCAAACCTTTTATCAAACTGCTTCTCCACACCTGTCATTAGCGTGCCTGGCTGGCACCACCAAGTCCTCCCACAGACTGCAAGGACTGAGCTGGCTTCTTCCTGCAGCTCCATCTCCCCTCAGCTGTCCCAGACCAGATCCAAAGAGCTCTTGCGACTAATTTAGCAAGAGGTGGGTTCTGCATACTCCCAGTAAAGCCACAGCTCACCAGTTCAGTTGGGTTGCCACCACCTCTAGGCTGTGAGAGTGGTGTGCAGAAGAAAAGCTGGGGCAGAGCCCAAACTGTCATTTGTGCTGGGCATCTTACCAGTATCAGAAACGGGTCTGAGACTTCCAGGCATTACTTCGTATCTCAGCTGTGAGACGTTGGGTGTCTTAGGTTTGGAAGAAGAGTGAGTGGTGAGTGGATGATGCACATCTGCTACCTGAAGAGACTCTTGGGAGAGCAGCTGTAGTGTAACTGTGCCTGTGCAGGGGTTATTGTTTCTGCACAAGCTGCAACAGCATTCAAAGGAAAAGCAGCTGCAATAGAAGTGGTCAAGCTCTGCTCTTGCATAAAGAGAGATGGTGCTGTGCAGCTGGCAATGCAGGCTGAGTCACCTGCAAGGTGCTGTGAGGGAGGAGTTGGGATTGCCTCCGCTGATAGCAGGCAGCGTTTGCTCCTTTGTCTCTTTCAATCTTCATAATCCGTATCTGAGGCTTCCGTGGCTGGCAGCTCCCTACTTGGTTGTGTGGCCTGCCTGCTTGGGCACAACTTTTAGTGCAGGAAACGTTCAGAATGTTACATCCCAAAAATGCAATGCTCCAGTATGGGACGAGCAGAACTTGCAGCAGAAGTGGCCAGATGATGCTGTCCTCCTGGGGTGTGCAGGGGGCTGATGCCAGGCAGCAGTGACACCCACTTCTGTGAAACAGCGACACTTACAGCCCCGCTGACAGAGGCTGACTCACGCTGTGGGTAAATTAATTGTACCTGAAAGGCCTCTTGTTCTTCTGCAGCAGAGAGCATAAAGGCAGACTGTCTGACAAACTAATCTCGGATAGTTTTCTTGTCAACATCATTGAACTGTCACTTCTCCTGAGCTTTGCCACAACACCTGATATATCTGTTATTTCCCAAAACAGATTTTGCGACCTTGGTTGATAACAGGAGCTTTTGCAAGGAAGAAAGAGGCTGAAATGCCTTCAGCAGCCTTTTGCTGTTGTGCAGGTCCTTTGCTGAGCTCCAGAGCTGTGGTTAGAGATGAAAGGGAGGTACATCTGTGCTGACTGATTAGGTTGCATCTCAGTGCAGTCTTCAGATTGCTCCCAGCACTTGCTCTGGGCTGGGACTCTTGTCGCTGGGCTTTTGGAGTCCTGATTTCTCCAGAGATAACAGAGAGAAACCCATTTACACCCCCAAAGCTTTCATTTAAAAAATAGTGATTCAGGGTGGACCACTGTGTCACCAAGATGCAGTAGGGATTTTTTTTTTTTTAATTCATTTTTATTGTAGCTCTATTGGGCTTGCAAAGTATTCACTCATCCTAAGCACGTGGCAACAACATTTCTGAAACTATTTAGAGGAAAAAAAAATAAATCTGAATGTCCCTTTCCCCAAGACAGTGGGTGAAAAAAGGTGAACAACACAATGATGACCAAGTAAAACATTCAGTTAAAACTAACTTGCAATGCTATTTAAATACATGTGGGTTGATCTGCACGTATTAGAGCAGTTTCTGAGTTTGGAATTACGTAGTTTGGGTGTGATTGTATTTGTTTCACTTCCAGATTGATTACAGATACTCATCTAAACAGGGTGACTGCTGAGGTTTTAAAAGCTGGAGCAGGCATCTTTGCAGTCAGTTTTACCAGCCGGTTAATTGCTTGTCCTTTCAAAACAGGTCATCCTCAATGCAGTCTCACCTCCAACACCACGACCAAAGCCTGCAAACACTTGCATGTCTCTGCACTCATAAATAGGTCCGTGGGACTCATTTTCATGAGGTGTAGCTTTGCTAGCCATAAAACTGCAGGACTGAGGCCCCACCACGCAGACATTCTGCTTCAGGACTCTCTTCATCAGGCACTAATATCCTATTGTATGGTGTTTGGGATTCTGGTTTTACAAGTTTCCTTAGTCTCCTAGGAGCTCAGGTTTGCATAATAGATTGTCTTATCACGTCTGCAAGGTAATTTCTTCTAGAGCAGCTTCTGAGAAGGCTCAGATGTGATCTGCCCTGGTCTGCGCACTGTTAATGTCTCTGCTCCGAGGCAGCATACCTCTGTTCCTAACAGGCCGTGGGGATGACTGATGGTATAGACCCGAAGTTAACTGGCCGTTCTCTTTAAAGACGACATATGATATTGTATTTGGACAAAGAGGAATTTCCTGTGTAATCTTTGCAGACAGCTGTATTGCGTTTTTATGATTTCTCTGGCATTTACGTGGAGTTATAGAAATACCATTAAAAGGTTTTTAACATTTTCCAGCATAATATTCGCATTGCATGTCTAGCTAGGCATTTTCTAACAGGCAGGATCTCAGTTTAAGAGGAAAGTAAAAAACCGATGGGCTGTACAACCACCACCCCACACCATGGGTTGCTCCCTGGCTTTATCTTGTCTAAAGCTTGGCCCTTTCCCTTTCAGCTATCTCCACAGTGTTGTTGGCAGGCAGTTTAACAAGCAATTAGGTTATTAAAAAGGTATATATTAAAAAAGAAAGCTGCGTTCAAAGTTAAGAAGAACTTTAGAAAAGACAAAAAAAAAAAAAAAGGTGAACAGTTCTGGAGAATTGAGGTCATTATTCTTGAAGGGCAGCCTAAATTAAAATAACAGCTGGATTATTTGTTAAGAAATGTGGTATTTATTTTAAAAAGGCAGAGCGAAAGATGCTCTTAACCTCATTAGTGCTGCAGGATGTTGTATATGAGCGTAATTATACTTTGCAGAAATGCAAGGGAGACCACACAGGAAGGGTATTGAAGAACTGGAAAAGGTACAGAAGACACTAAGCATGATAAAAGGATCGAAAGTTGTTATTTATGGATGAAGTACAGGCTGCTTTAAAAAAATAAATAAATAAACTGGGGCCACAATGAGAGAGGCAATGCTCCAGGATATTGAAAGTTGAATGACAGGACCTGTGCAGATCACTTGCAAGGTAACTAAAGGGAAATTGAATGGAAATAATGTTGGAAAATGCTCTTTGGAGAAATCACTTCTAATACAGGATTTTATGCTGCAGAGTAGGAAAATGCCGTCTGTAGTGTGTGGGTCTCCGCCACCACCACCCCATCTTTTGTCTTGGCTCCAAGGGCTGAACTCCTGCATCGCAGCTTCTGCATTTCAGGAATGTGACTCCTGTCCTTGACCTCGTCTGTAGATAAATACAATGTTCCCCTTACTGCTGAGTGGATTAGGAAGAATTTCAGCCAGACAAGAGAGGTGAGATAAAGGAAAGATGGGTGAGGATGTTTTCCATCCACCCTTTTTGAGCCAGACTCTTGGCTTTGCCTCCAGGACCTTGGCCTCCATGATTCTGCAATGAAGCTGCTCGTAGAGGCTGTGGCATGAGGCTGCCACCCAGGGAATGAACTTTTTGGGCACTCCTCCTGGCACAGAGCTGAGAGGAGAGGCAATTGCTGCCTGTCCAGAGCACAGCAGGGTCTCACCACCCAGCAAGCGTGGGCTGAAGCCAAGCAGGAGAAAAGCTCCGGGGGTCAGCTGGACAGGAGGTAAGTTCCAGGCTGGTTTCCTGGCCTCTGTCCACGCCAGAGTGTTAACAGGTCCACCACAGCACATCCTAAGCTCTGCTGCTTTTGTTGGTAAGGCAAAGAACAAATTGTGATGTTTTCTTACTTAGTGCTGCTTCCTTAAAAGCAACAGGGAGCATTGCTGAAGTTGTGTGCTTTCACTACAGGCCACGATAGTAACCGGGCTGGCCAATTCTGCAGAGTGGGAGTCACAGTGCCTCATCTGCCAGTCTCAAAGTCAAGCTGTTGTCCCATAACATAAATGGGGTATTCTTTCCTCGCCCTACCCCCCACCCCAATAAAAAATA